ATACACAGGGACATTAAGTAAATGGTATATTCAGAGGATAGTTTTGGAGCCAGTGATCTGAGCATCAGGTGTGGAGATGTAGAGACTGTTTTGGTCATATCACAAGGCCTTGAGTCACTACGCTATCAGTGATTGTAAAAAACTGCAGGTGGGAAGGATCAGAAATGGCACTGGCTCCAAAAGGTATCAAGTCTAGAGTTTTTATAATCACAGCAATTTAGCCCAATAGTCTCCACAGTCTCGATAAATAAATGTACATAAAGGTCAAATTAGTCCAGAAAACAGTGAGTAAACTGTGGCTGCATCATGAGCACATTAAAAGGGCAGAGGTGTCCAATGCTTAATACCTGTGGGAGTTTTGGGCGACTTGTCATCTTGGCTGTCTTTGGTGGGACTGTTTGGCGCCGAGGAGTAGGATCGTCTCTCCCTCTCAACCACTTCACAGATTGCGTTGAAGGAGGCATGCCGGGACCAAGCCACCTTCTTGGGGCCTCTCGAATGGGACGTGGGAGGTTTTGATGATGGCTGTGTTTCTTGAGGAGGCAAAGTGGCTATCGGAGCTGTAGAGATACAAAAAAATTGTTTAAGTCCTGAACTGAGGTACGCGTACCCAGATGCCTGATACCAAACTGAACAGGGCAGGCACTGGCTCTGTATATGCTTTTATCACTTAAACCTGTATTTAAATTTTGAAACCCGTCTCCAACAAAGCGCAACTTTTGAAAAAATAAAAAAAGTTGCAGGCTGAAATCAAGTAAAAACATTGTTTCTGCATCTAATGAATGCACTGCAAATTACCTCTGGTTTATTATGTTCCGTTAGGCATGCAAAACAGTTACTTTGGGCAAAGTAAAGATTACAATACTAACATCCAGGAAAGCCGTTAACACTCTGATAAAGATGCCGTGATGTTCACATGCGCGCATTGCTCTTTGAAGTCATCACAATCACATTAGTATTGTTTTTCTGCCGGAATCTGTTTCTTACAGGGTAAACTTAAAACCTGTTTGCTTGCATTCGGCAATATTTAGAGAAAAAGTCAAAAATTTTGGTTGGAAAATACAAGATTAGAATAGTGAACATTAACATACCATTGGAAATGCAGAATGTTAAGCGTAATTTTTTTATTTAAGCGTAATTTTTTTATTTACCAGCTGGTGTTGAGAAGAAAGACTGTCGGGAAGGAGCAGCGTTCTCTACACAAACATCACCTGAATTGAAATACAAAGGAAAAGTTGAATCTACAAAAAGGTCTTACCAAAAAGTGATTATTTCTAAAGATTTCCCAAAAGAGTTTGACGCTTGCCATGTCAAGGCAGTGTTGGAGCAAAAAATACACATTTGCAGTCTCACACTTCAAATTACTTATTTGCCACTGACTCACTAATTGTCCTACGCAAATTTCACTCTAAATTCTCAACACTTTGCTTGTTTTTTCACCCTCTTAGGGACTGGTTTCTCAATCATGAAATATCCAATTCAATAGGACAGACAGAAAGCTTTTGTTCAATTTGAATCTGAGGTTTTGGTGTGGAGATGGTATGTGTAAAGTGTACTTCCGGATTGTGTGACTGTGCGACCAGTTCTGCATTAGAGCATACAAAATCTTAGAGGCATATTAAATGAACCGAGGACCTCTCTGGAACATATTGTTTCATTCTAGCCTTGATTCAGTATTAACAAAGCTTCAATGAGCTTAACGGGGAAAGCAAGCTTTAAAACTAACAGTGAACACAGCAGAAAGCAAAGCACTCAACTGTTAGAGCTTTTTCATACAATTTTACATAAAATTACAATTAACATAAAATGATTCGAATAACTCCAATCCTGTAATCATATTTCACCCGCTGCACTTTGACAGAACCAATATGTGAGGATCACAGTACACAGTTTATTACATGTGCAAGGAATTATTTTTCTGCAAATAACATGACTGGTTGAACTTACTGAGGTTGACGTGATTAGTGTCTGGGTTTGGGCCAATCCACCTGAATGCTGGCTTTCTGCCCCGGCCTTCCTGCACATGGACTTTCTTGATCATCTCTAGGCTCGTCAAGATGTTGGCTATGTCGTACAAACGCCGCACTTTGGCTGCAGAAAAAAATTAGATTGAGGATTTAAAATGTCAGTTTATAAAATAATAAGGTGGAAGACCACAGAAGTGTGATCGTCAAGGAAATTTTTTTTGTGAAATCTGATATGCAACTCCACAGTTTGACTCATTTGCTTAAATGGGCAAATTTCTTCACAAATATTTCATAATTTCAAATTCATTTTCAGCAGCGAGCTTCTTGTTGAAAACGAACTTAGTCTTAACCCAAGACAGCTTGGCTGCTAGACCGATACACACAGTGTTAACTGTGACTTTCCAATGACTCTCATTAACTTGTACTAAGACTAACTTAGCAAAATGTGTAGAGCATAAATGGTTTAATAAAGCTTACTCTTGAACTTTGACCCTTCCCTGATTTCATAATTGATGTCACCTATCAGTACTCTTGCTGCTATATCCAATGTAATGACTTTAGCCTGAGAATAAGACAGACAGAAAAACAAAGGTTGAAAGATTTTCATGATATTAGAATTTGACACATGTAAATGTATTTAACCCAGACAAAGCAAAGGAATTGTGATGATAGTAGTTTTACACATAATGAAACATTCCTGGGCCAGTGGACATTTTACGAGATTTGGAGTTCAAAACACATGTGCAGACAGCAAAGTTAAAATGCGCTCATTTCACAATCTTGAACTTTCTTCCCAGTTTTAAACTTCAGTGTTGACATATTCTGAACTATCGCTGTAAGAAACAAGCCCTGTAAAATGGAACAGTTTGTGCAAGTTACGAATTGACCCGGCACAAATTGCCACAGAAAACTGCATTTGATGGTAATTAGGTTATAAGTCTACCTGGGAAACCAAGAAGAGCATGATGAACTTCTGACTCATGACACCCAAAGATTTGTCCCGTCGATTATCTGATGGGGTAGGCAAAATGAAAATAAACAGTCAGGAAACAATATTCAATAACCAAACAACTGTCTGTAGAGTACCAGTGTTTACTGTCAACTGCAACATATAAATGAAGCTGAAATTTGTGAATATTCTACTCCAAGGTTTCAAAACAATTCTTACCACTGAAATAATGAAAGAAAAGTGCATGCAAGGTGTCTTGCAAACATTAAGTGGTGTGAGTCACTGAAGGAAGGGATGCAAACATGAAATGTCGGAAATCTTTTGCACAATGCATCAATATCAGTACTGTTATTGCTTTGCTACATGTATGCAGCATCCCTTATATGTATAAAAGCCATGCAAAATATCATATGTGCCCATATCATATGGGAAAATGAGTAACTACATGTACACTTTTCTTGCAGTTTGCTAAAGAAGCAAGCTTAACTCTGTTTCAATGTATCACTCATTTGCCATCCTGATGAAAATGGACATTACATGTATGTGGGTAAAAAAATGCTGAGAGTCCCCTGTGACTTCCATCTTGCGAGATTCCTTTAACCCTAACTGCCAAGCATATTGTTTGGCTTACACTACACAGTACTACAAAATACTAAGTAATAGTCTGAGCCTGAAGGACCTAGCGCTACAGATTACAACTTCTGGCTAGGTTACTTCCATTGTTACTTGTACAGAGAACAATAAAGCCATGCATTCACAGTGCCACAGCACTGTATGGTACGTTGTCTTATCTATTGTATCTTATGGCTTCACAGAACTATAAAGTCATGTCCTCTTACAAGTGACAGCGCTCAGTACTTCATTTAACTACAAGTAGTAATTTGTAGTATTATGTAGGGTTAGGGTTAAAGGCATGATGTCCAGGAGTAGTTCTGCCAACTTGTGATTAACTTTCACCGAGCTGGTCAAATTCTGAGGCACACATGTCCCCTCCTAAATGCCATTTGATGTGCACTGCTACCGATAGCAACAGCTTCTCACTCGAGTTTTAGCTCAGCATGCCAACGAGCCGAGCAACGTTTTTTGAGTTGAGTGTGAGTACTTCTAACAAAAAAGGGCCCTGTTCTACTTGTAACCCTGGCTTGCTCACTAGCATGTCAACTTACTCATATCTTCCTCAATCATGTCCCGCTCTTTTTTGTCGTCGGTGTCTTGGGGCTGGCAGCCAATGTTGCTGACATCCCGGAATGGCTGCTTGGACAGTTGCTCCATCTCGTCGCTGAACTCACTCTGAATCTGAAGTTTCTTGAGATGGGCAATCTGGTCAGCATATCTCTTCTTCTCACCAAGGCACTGGGAGAAGGGGGAAAAACATGGACACAAACACAGTTAGCTTTCTCATTCCAATTCCGGCACTCAGAAGGCCAAATAGCAGCTGGCAATTGCTCCCTCCTCAATTAAGCTGCCATGGAAAAAAAGGAAAAAAAAAATCAGGTTTGGAGTTAGAACTTCATATAATTGCCCAACGAAACATTAATAGGTGTATGTACCTACCTTGAGTCTAGCCAGGGTAGATTCCATATTCATTTTGCCATGCCACAAATATTTATTTTTGGCAACCCGAGAGACCATCTCTATACTTTCCAAGACATTGACAATGTCGTAAATTCTACGCCTCTCCACACCTGTAAGGGGAGAAAAGAGAGATGTTTCACATGTTTTTCAAAGAATTTGCAGTGGTTTGAAAAAACACAGAAGCTTTTCCACAGGTTAGGTTTTAGAGGTAATGCAACTGATCGGACACACCGTCACCCCAGTGGACATTGTTTTGTAATTTTTGGGTGGTAACGTCAAATGTGGCATTACAATACATGTAGATCTCTCACCTAAGTCCTTGGAGATGGCATCCAAAGAAATTGCCATAGCAACACCATTCTTGGGATAGTCTGGATATCTGGACAAAAATCTAAATTGAAAAGGAACAACAAAAACACATTAAAGTTGTTCACTTTAATCATCCTGTGTTCTCCATGGCCGAAAATTTTGGCAGGGCGGTAGACAAAATTGCGAGCGTGAAGCCCTTACAGCGTGGGGTCCGGGGCCCTGGAAAATTTTGGATTCTAGATGCTCTGTGGTGCAGTCTGGGTCAATTTCCAGTCCACTTTCGTCTGTAATTTGAAATATGTGAAATATTGGCTAGGATATTCTTCAGGGGGAATTTCTTCATCCAAAGATTTGATGACTTTTTGGCGGAACCTCATGTTTGGCGGAACCTCATGTTAGTAACTTGAGACATGCTTTAGGTGAGCAGAGCATGTGGTTTTCTCAATGATCAGTTGACTGTGAAAAGGCAGAGTAAAAACAAGCCTCAAAATGCGCCCTTGAATAAAAAAGGACAAAAGAAATATGTTCAGGCAAAGATAAGTTTACAATTTCCAGCTCGCGTCATAAAAATGAAGCAACCCCTCCATCGGAGCAGGCGTGGGGGCCGCTCAGGCATGGCACAGTCCTTCTGCTGACGCCCGCGCACATTCCGCAAAACAATGTTGCGCTGCGGGTACCAGTCACATGCACTGCGTGTACATGTACACGCTTTTGCAATACAATGTACGTGTACATGTACAAAACATACGCGATGGTTTTTCGGGACACGAGGTTGACTATGCATAACGTTAGGCAGCCAACGATCACCATTGTCAGTACATCATAAGTGTCGTCCGTAAACTCAAACTCGATCCGCAAACTTTGGTAAAGCTCTTTTTTATTAAAATCTTGAGAAAGTAGACATTCAGGGAAAAATACACTACTCAAAAAAAAAATAGCAGGGCGGCAATATTTTAGCGGGGCGGCCCAAAATTTTGGCAGGGCGGTCCGCCCTGCTAAATAGCCCGTGGAGAACACTGATCATCTTTCCTGTGGACAATACCTAAAACACCAGTAAATGGAATTTTCCAAACTGAGAAAAGGACAGAAGGAATTATCTTACTTTTACTGTTGTTAATCACTGTTAAATGGCACATTAGATGCTCCTCAGTAACATGTTCATGTATGTTTGAGGGTTGGATGTGGTTCAGTGTTTTCTGGCAGACAATGGTACAGTACCTTTGGCAAAGGAGACCCAGCGATTTGGCCTTCCGGTTGATTGGTTTGTCACCCTCTTCGACGCCATCCTCTCCTTGTGACATGCAATCTGTCTCCACCTCTTCCTCCTGCATGTCCCCCATTCCTGCAACCACGACTTGTTCTTCCTGCAGGGATGTGTGGTCTGTGACAGCACTGAAGAGGGCCAACTGCCGCCGAGAATCCAGGCCCCGAATCTCTGGACTGGCAGCACTGATTAGCACCTTGAGGTTGGTGGTGGGTGTCAGCGGGCTCAGACACGGCAGGAGTCCTGAGGGTTTGTTCGGCGTTGATGGGCTCACTTCGGGCTCCATCTGAACAGCTACTTCCTGACCGACAAGAAAGGGATTTTCGTCAGAAAGTGGTTCCTGGAACGATACACTGAGGGTCTTGTCTCCTTTCTCCATCTGGTTATGTTGCTGGAAAGACGATAACCTGATGACTGGTTCAGTATTAAGGTCCTCATCACATCCATCAAGTGGCTGAAATCCCTCAGGAAACAGAAAGCTTGACATGCTGGAAGCCAAATCTGCCATCTTCCAATCTGCACAAACAGAAATAAAAACTTTTGGCGGTGGATATTGGACCGTGGAAAAGTCCCTCGCAATTGAACACGCGCACAGAGTGTTTGGGGGAACCAGAAGTTGACCATGAAATCTTTGTCTTGTTCCATGCTTCCAGTGTTATTGTCTGCTCGAATTCGGTTCCATGCTTATGGCAATAGAGGGATTTCACATTAGCGCCGTCTGCACATATCCGCATCGAAACCGAGGCTCTCTATGTTGAACTTCATTGCGCGCACCTGCGGAGGCGACACAGTACATGCAGTATCCGGTTTGTAAAGTGTGACACCGCTTCAGTTTAAACCACGCCCAGTGCACAAGATACACGACCATCGCAGGTGCGTGAGTTTGCGGTAAATTGTCGTTATTTTTTCTTTTGGTTTTTACATGTCGAGCCATCCTGAAAGACTCTTCCACAAAAATTTGCGGCCTGAAAAGTCTGAATTTAACACACCTTTATGTATTTTGTGTCTTGACTCCTTACTTTCAATCGTCTGATTGTATTAAGAATTGAAGCTGACACATACAGCCTTGCTTTCAAATGCAGAAGTGCGCAAATTGACGCTAAGAGCATCGTATTGGGATCCCTCTATGTTGGGACTCTTTCCCTTTAAAAATTCCCCAGAGCTACAGATCAAACAGACAAAAATAAAATACCCAGGATGTAAGCAAAGATTTATTTTCATAAGCTGAAGATCATATTGAGACTTTTTAACGTAGAAAAAACTGGCAACTCTAGCCTGCCTAGAATACAAAATAAAACCCAACGACAGCCTGCGAAATGAAACGTGCACCTCACTTTGGGAGCTGCATGCCCTAACCACTCATCCCATTAAAAGAATAAAGAAACAACAATCAGTTCAATGCTCTCTGTGTAAAAAAAGGGTGACAAGTTCACAGAAAAATACAATTCGCATTGTATCCATGCAGTCTAAAAATGCTCCAACTTCACATACAAGTATTTCCATGGACAGTAACCTACTTGTATGGTGAATAACAACATGTAGCCTTATCAAATCGAATTTGGGTCATCTCTTACCTGGGATGACTTGTAACCAAGTCAATTCATACCCAAGTCCCCTAACCCTGGTCAACTTGAGCCCGAGTCAGCTCGTACCCGGTACCCAAGCCAACTCGAGCCCATGTAAACTCTTGCCCTAGTCAACCTTGCTCAGTACGCCCGTGCCCATGTTTCATCTTTAAACACTAGCGAGTCAAGTAACAAAGGGTTTCTTTATTTTGGGAGTGGTTCCCAGCACAATGCCAGTTTGCTCTTCAAAGTAAACAGCTATCCCCTTGTTTATTTTGGGAGAATAGCTTTTAGTTTAATCAGAATATCTTTTGTGGGATTGTATGGTTTATTTCATTGCACATTTGTTCTTTTCGGTCTTTTATTTTTTTTATGTCGCTTTTTAATGGGTTGGTTTCATAATTTAAAGTATTTTAAGTGGGTTTTTAATAGTTTGGATTGGAAGATTTCATCAGGCCTTAGGGCAAGCCTTCAATGGATTTTATTTATTTTTGTTTAATTCAGTAATTTGAAGGGGGAGTGGCGTAAATTTGTGCCAGAAAGTTGACGTTTTCAAATAAAAACAAGTATTCAAGAATTTGATACCATCAGGCTATAATAGAAAAAAAGAATGTGTGCTTCCATACTTTTCATTAACTGCGTTAGCCTTACTCTTTTGTCTGCAATGGTTGGCAACAAATAAACTTTTAAGTACATCAAACAGGCTTCAAATGTGCATACAAGTGTACACACAAGTTGAATAAAGGAAAATCGAATGAGGACAATGTCAACTTGTACCCGAGGAGCATCACTGAGTTTAGTGAAAAAGTACAAAAATGTAATGCCCCACAAGTCACCAAATAAGTGTCATTAAATAGAAGAGTGTCATCACTTCTTAAATTATATGGAGTACACTGGGTGTGAGTGGTCCTGGGTGTGAGTGGTCCTGGGTACAAGTTTACGTGGGTACGAGTTGACTGGGGTAGGAATTGACTGGAGCACATGCACGAATTGACTAGGGCATCATTTCTGGGGTATGAGTTGTCCCGGGCATGAATTGACCCAATTCGATTACATTCATGCACATTACATTCATGCACATGTACCTGTTTTTCACAGTAGTACTAGTACTAAGAGTCGAGTACTACTATTAGTCACTTGTCACAAATGAAAGAAATCACTTGGGGAACTTAGGCCCACCAAAATGTAGGAACACCGATTATTCTTTTTAAGGAACTCTTAACATGTTAAAATGTGCCTAAAATAAGGAAATAATTTTTAAAAACTTCCAGTATACATCATGTAGGCCTAAGCGTATGTCAGTGAAGGTAATATACATTGTAACTCCTTCCCCGGACGCAACCGTTTATAATAATAACGCCCACCAAGTGACCAAGTTAGCCAAGTCTGTCTATAGACATGATAGACTAGGTCTTACTCCTAAAATCATTAATGATACATGTAGGGGCCTACCATGGAAGATGTGTTTTATTCCTTGCGCCATGATCAGCGCCATGATCAGTTTTAGTAGCTAGGCCCTAATGTCTGAGACTCTACGAAGCTACATGTACACTGGAAAAGAAGAACATTCACTACAGACTTTATAAATGAAATACAAGTTGAAAGGCAAACAATCAGGTCTGCATTGCTCTTTTTCAACAAGCTATTTTCACGATTTGCTTACCCCTTTTTCACCGGACGTTATTGTGTGAAGCTGGAGGAGAACAGCGTTAGCATTAGCCAACCGGCGCGTTGACAAAATATGGCGCGCCACTGAACCGATGACCGAAATTCTGACTCGCACAACTTGCGTATAAAGATATCCTTCATAAGAGTTCTGCTTCAGAAAACCTTCCCTTTCTTGTTACACTAACAAGTAGTTCCCTAAATGTTGAATCAGAGTCATTTAACTGGGAAGCATTCGTGAAAAATTCCGTAAGATTTGTAGCAAACCATAGTTTCGGCGCAAACGATTTCCGTTCAATTTACGCGCGGACGCCAGGGATTTGCATAAGCTCCACCCAACAAGCCAATGAACCAATGACACCCACGTACAAAGGCCGTGTGAGTACTAGCCTTGAGTCAAGGCGTGTGTAGCGCGAGTGCACCATATGGATGCTCAGCTGGTACAGTGCGACCGTACCGTACCGTGTGAGTACATGTACATGTACTAGCCTTGAGTCAAGGCGTGTGTGGCACATGTCCGCCATATGGATGCTCAGCTGATAAGACTAGTGCTAGTCTGGATACCAGACCCTAAGATTCTGACTATTCTACGAGGGTCCGGGATCTCCATTCGGCATGTTCGNTTACTTAACACATCCCCCAAGATGTCTGAAAGGAATTCCCCAGATTCCTGCGAGACAATGACCAACACAAAGCAGGGGGGGGGTTTCTCTCCGTCTCATACCTTGCTGCATATGACTGTTGATCCTACAATATTTGACTTTATACACTGAAATCGAAGGTCACCTTAGCCGAAATGCAGATGCCTGAAACATGCTCTCATAGTGGGGACACACTTGCAGTATTGCCCACTGGATATGGGAATAGCCTCATTTTTGAGATGTTGCCACTGATGAATTTGAAAACACCCGGGCCCTCAACTTGTGACCCCTGACCCTTGCGTCATATCTATTTATATCCGTGGGCGATGCCTGACCTAAGACTTTTTATCAAGCGTCGTCGGGGAATCTTTAAGCAGGGAACCAGACTAGACAAGTGTAAGTTCCCGAAGATTTTTTTATGTGATTCGTTCCGTCGCGGTCTCCATAGATCTCCAGGTCTATGATCCTCAATAGGCCGATATACAAATGATGAATATTTCATATTCGTGCGGTGGTATTAAGAATAATTTCAAGAGGTGGCAGATGAAAATTAGCATTCCATTTCATGAAACGACCCTTCCATCTGTCACCTTGTGAAGTTATTCTTACCATTGCACGAATGTGAAATATTCATTATTTGCTATACCTGCATAAAAATCCTAGTCATCATTTCCTCTTCTACTAGGAGCACAAACAGTCCTCGTGGATCATAAATGACCACCATGCCATTCGCAAAACTATATTCGTGTCCAAAGCGAAGCCACCGCACAATGTTTGAAACGGATTCACACCTGATGATAGAAATTCGCTGAAAATCAACTTGGACAAAATATATCTCATAAAACAAATTCATTGCAAAATATATCTTGTAAAAACGATTCGTTTCCAAAAACAGAGACAACGTTTCTAAATATAGATCTTATAAGAACGAACTGGATAATATATGTCTCGAACAAATTAGCTTTGGAGAAAATACATCTCGTAGCAACGAGGTGGAAGAAATCTCCTAAAAACAGACTCCTATAAAAAATATAGTTCACTTTTGAAAAAAATAATATACTTCATGACACTACAAGGCTTTCGTAGATATGCGTATGGATATTGTACAATTTAACTTGATCATTCTACCGCGGTGGAAAGTAATGAAATTATGATAGAAGCAACTCAAAACCGTTAACATAAAACCTCTGAGAAGAGCAAATAGGTTGATTAGCCGAAAACATTGAGTAAATATGCACATCCGTACGCATCCTACGTTCTGACCCTTCTGTTCATCGTGGTTTCTCCATTGGGAGGGGCACTATGTTTGCGCGCGCACAAGGGCGGATCTCGACCCAGGAGGGGGGGGGGAACAAGTATGGAGCGTCCCCGGAAAAAGTCCCTGGTGCACTTTTGCATTAACTGATTGCACTAGTTACAATTAAACAGCTGCTGAGTTAAAAAAAAAATCCTCATTTTTTGGGGGGGGGGTGCTCCCTTTCCCCCTCCCGGATCCGCCTTTGTGAGCGCAGTTGTGTGTAACAAAGATCAGGGTGTCTCTTCTTGAAAACAAAACAAAATTCCAGCTGACCTACCTTTCGGCCATTCCAGTCAATTCATTTTGTACATGTGCGAGGGACAGTCAGATTTGTGTCTCTTCGTGACAACACATACGTTAGAGATTTTTAACCAAACAGCATTAATGTAATTGTGACCTTCACAAACATTAATAATGTTAACCTTGAGGAAACATGTCAAAATGCTGAAGTGTGATGTTTTAAAAGAAATTAGTAAAAAAAAATTAATCGAAACAAAGTCATTTCTGACATTTTGTGTTTGTGTCACTTCATGAAATTATGACGTAATAATGAGATTTAGAAAATGTTTCTATGACGACAAAAATAAACACTCCTACTTCAACTATAAAGCGTCAAAGAAGCATTTTGAAGTACCTTGTTTGGCAGAGGTTTTTTGTTTTTAAACTAAAAGTAGATTCTATCGTGTAATGTAATTACTTTCCACCGAGGTAAAGTGATCAAGTTGAATTGCACAAAACATACATACACCCATATCCAATATTGCAACCAGAGCCCAATTTCACGAAAAATCGGCACTTCCCGTAGCAGAAATTCTGTGCTTACGGCGAACGTATTTCACGGGTTAGCGAGGAATTTTTGGCTTGTGCGCATACGTACATGTACATCCATGACTAAGGGTTAGAATTTTTTTCTGCTTGCGCAGTTAGCACATAATGGAGATCGTAAGCGGGAAATTCTGCGGTACCGGTAAACAGTGCCATGAAATTGGGCCATGCTTTGAATGTGACATCTATTTCACGACACTGCAAAGTTTTAAAATGTGTACAGGATTATATGTTTGTGCCAAATAACACCTGTCATTATGGACTGCCTAAGATCCTGTGCGTCGTTGTTTCAATCACGGACCATTTAATGGTCCGTGTTTCAATTTACCACAGAGCAAGGAACTGGTCCTTGCTCTACGGATAAACTGGCCCGTGAAGAGTTATCATGGAACAAGGGAACAAAAATGTGTGCATGCTTGTGCGTTTAAGACCAGCTCAGGAGATCGAGAATGGACGCGCCGGCTCGGGCATTGTCAGCATTCAGTCTCCTCATTTTGGCAGGTGTATCATTAAGCGAATTGATAATTTTTCCCATATCACTGACGATTTCTTTACGGAGAAAAGCATGGAAATTCCGAAACAAATATGTACTTGTCTTTGCAGTCCGCTGAAGAAAAAATATATATTTCAGGGTTAGCTCTTGAGCTCAGTCTGAGTAATTCTTATTGGCAACCTTTCCACACTGCAAAACCAAACAACAAAGTAATATGAAACTGCATAATCGTTTGTGTCTTCTGAAAAGACAGAACCATCTCGGGCAGTTTTCGTTTCCAAACCTTTGAGCAGCGTCTTTTGTAATATTGTACTACTTTGCACCGCGGTAGAATGAGCAAGTCACACAACTACGCATATCCAGTATTGCAAGTAGAGCTTCAAATTTGTTTCAAGTACAAACACGGACTTTCCGGTGATATCCATTTGATAACATCGAAGAGTTTTCATAGATCCAAGACCCTGTCATTTATGCCAAATACCATCTGTTATGTGGATTGAAAACGATTTTCTGGGATCGTTGTTTTGATATATTGGTCTGTGAAGTGGGTGTCTTTAGAGCATTGTCACACGAACGCATCAACATACTTGGCGACACATCCCCTGCCCATTGACCTAATCATACTTTGACTATTATTCTAGTTCTGTGAGTAGTAGCTTGTCACAAGTGCACCTTCCAGGTATTGTCTCCAGACAAAGGACTTCATCAACATCATATAACACATCCCCACCGATGAACATAATGTGCTCTCAATTTGATCGCATGTGTACCTCTGGAGAGTACCAACCTTTGTATATTAAGGAATGCATCTTTAAGGTCGAGTCACGTGACACATGAACGCTGAACACCAAGGTTGCCACTATTTTTACTATACAATCGCGCTTGCTCTCAAACTGATCCGAATGTAGTTTATAACGGCCTGTGGAGACTGCAAAATTAAACTGGTGTCACGTGACCAAAAATCATCTACAAAGTTTCCTTCCGTGGGAGACTGTGCAAGTTGATTTAAATTGGGCAAGCACGTTGCAGCGGCAAAAATGCTATGGGAAAATGATAAATATTCAAATCACGTGATAATACCACCATGACCACGTTTCAACTTTAGCACTCGGATGACTTTCAGCACCTACGCAGTAATTAAATGCATGGGATTGGGTTGACTAGGCCGACCCGAAACATTAAAGACATAAACCGAATCCGAACCGAAACCGATCTGAACTCTCTAAACCGCCCCGACCCGGGTATCCGACAAGAAATTAGGGAAAAACCGACCCGAAACGACATAAACGTAACCGAATCCGAAAAAAATCCGAACGTCTTGTTTGGGCTAATTATCCGTTGTTCCATACAAAATTGTATCCGTTTTGTGCCAGTATTGCCTATTTTAACATATGAATATACTTGTCAGACGTAGTCGTGCCGTGTTGCCCTATATCTTAACGAGTGACCTGCGCTATAAAGTTGCTGCACGTCTGTGCACACAGTTCAGTATTCCAACTGCATGCGCAATTGCGCATTTCACGATTTTTCATCGTATGCGTGCACAAAGTATTTTCAGATGTTTTGTGTATTCAAACGTTTGTTTGAATAAGATTTGTAATCGTCTTTTCGATTGCACGAAACAAAATATAAACACAGTATGCAGAATCGGTGACTACATCCCCGTAGTAACTTTCTCTATTTTATCTGCCTCGTGTTTCCCAGAAAGAAAAATCGTCCAATCTTGTGAGTTGGCCGAACTGGCTTGAAGTTTGTGTGTGGCTGTGCGCGACTGCGTTTCCGGTGTACTCAAAATAGTAGTACAGTTTGTGTTCGCTTGTTTATTTTGATGTGCCGCGTCACTGCTGCTACAAACATATAAATTTGGCTATACAGTAATCTGAAGCTAGAAAAAGTAAATTCATCGCGTGAATTCTGCGTTTCGGTTTTTCGGTTATTTTCAGTTTATTTCGTTTTTTTTTTCACAATATAGCTTAACCGACCCGACCCGACCCGCGCCATGGTTGTTGATGTCTCACTATAGGTCACGTGACTTAGCTGGCGCAATCGGTCTACTGTGACCCTGATGAACATGAATAATGTAAAGCTTGAGAAAATATGTCAACATGGTGGAGTGCCATATTTCAAGAGAAACAGTAAAAAAATAATCTAAAACACGTCATTTTTGATATTTGTGTTTGTGTCTGTTTGTAAAAACGGTGACGTAATACGGGATCTGAAAATCGCTTCATCATGTCAAGATGTTACCGAAGTTTCACAAGAATAGACACTTTTACTTCCATTATAAAACGTCAAAGAAGCATTTTGAAGTGACTCGTTTTGCAGAGTTTTTGTTTTTGAAACTAAAAAGTAGCTTCTATCGTAATTGAATTACTTTACACCGCGGTACGGTGATAAAGTTTAAGTGCACAATACATATCTGTACACGCATGTCCAATATTGCAAAGAAAGCTTTGAATTTGTGTCAGTTACAAACATGGGTGATTGAGTTAAACTGCAGAGTTTTTGATATATACAGGATTGTGCCAAATAACACTTGTCATATGGACTGCCTAAGATTGTGTGCGTCATTGTTTCGATAGACTGGATCGTGAAGAGTTATCATGGAATATTGTTAGATATTTGAATCATCGAATCGCTTTATTACACTCCATCGTGCTGTCAACGAATTCTCACAAGAATAGACAGGCCTTCGTTTTTCCAACGTTAAAAATTGAAATCATTAATAAAGATCATATGATGACGACACTGTGACGTCACGATCGTACGGAAACCTTGGGATTAGATTTTCTTGTTGCTGTGGTATATTTGGAACAATTTTGATTGGCTCTTTTCCCATTACAACCAAGGACATTAAAAGAGGTACTTATGAAATTTTTATACACTAAGTTTGGTTAAAATCCATTGCGATTTGGTCATTTCATGTGGACAACTAATTATTCCTAAAACAACCCTGGTGCTAAGAAATACATAAATTGAATAGGTTTTTCGAAACGTGGCCTCCTGAGAGAGTGCATCCCATTTTTTTAGCTGTTAACAATTTTTTCCTATTTCGCAGATGCTAAGAATGAAAAAAAAATGGAATTCGGTGGGAGAGTGGGAGATCATTACACTGAAAACCCTCTCAGCCAATACGGGTCACTTTGTTGAGTTTAAGGGACCACGAAATAGAAATATTTCATTAAATTTTACTAAAACCCTTTAAATTACACATTTGGGTTCCAGTTAATCCCATTTTAATTTTTGTTTTGCTATTTTAACCCATATTTTGGAGCTTTTTGGTTTAATGCCAATGCTATGCTATTTGCATATTCATGAGCAAAAGTATGATGCCATCCAAGACACTGGACCTCAATGTTTCAATGATTTGTGCACAAAACATTTCTAGACTTTTTTAAGCACTGTTATCGTACATTTAATTTTCTTTTTGTATTTTGGCCCACTCTATGCTCATTTGTAGGGATATGCGTAGTCTGGGTTCCAAGACCTTCCACAGTTCATTCCGCGATACGGGACACAAACCACATCACACGGAAATAGGATATGCGGGACACAGGACCATTCCTCTGGGCGTGTACATACATGTACACGCTGGGCGGAGCTACGCTGACTGTGCTTGTATTATCTTCAAACACTGCGTGCAGATGAACAACGGAGGTGTGACGTGGGCCTTCCCCTACGGAAGCGTATATAGGACATGACTGAAAAAATTTCTGCCTTTGTTTTTCGCCCGAGCGGATTACTCATTTCGCCCGGAGCTGATTAGTATCCCAGGAGACTTGGTGTATATAATCGCTCACTCTTTGCAGGGGGATGGATCATCCCCCCACGTTTTCGTTAAAAGAGAGAGAAAAAAAGGATTTGTGAGTACCTTTTTCATTCAAAATCAATTGATTTGCAAAGTTTCTCATGAAGTGTGCCCAGAGTTTTCTTTTTTGGGGGGGGGCACAGATTCGGGTTGGGGGAAAGGGCAAAATGATTTTTTTTCTACAAATCGCAGTCCATTTTTCTTTGGTCTGTCCCCCGCCCCAAAAATAAGGCCGGTGAGGTTTCCACCCACTCCGCTTTGTTTTCTCTAGCCTCACATTGCATTTTCCACACTTTGGGTCTTCCAGACTTTTCTGAGTAACTCATTACAGTCATTTTCACCTATTTTTTGAGAATATCTCTGCTTTTGCTAAATGCAGGAGTAAGAGCGCACTTCATGAGTCACTTTGCATCGTCGACACGATGGCGCGCAAAAAAGGCCGGAATGGTCTGACTCCCCCCCCCCCCGGAAATCATCCCGCATTCTGACAAACAAATCTACATCACTCCCCAGGTGGATCGCTATTTCGCCCCGAATAACTAATCCGCCCGGACGAAATAAGTAATCCGCCCGGGCGAAATACTAATCCGCCCGGGCGAAATAGCAGGCCCAATTTTTTTCAGTCATGTCCTATATACGCTTCCGCACTTCCCTTACCCAGTGTGGTTTGCATAATTCTGAGGAATATTGGACAGAATCAAAGGCTGCCAAAGCTGGATATCCTAAAGGTTCCCAAAAAGTATAGGGTTAGTAATGAGAGCAATGCTTCCCATTTAAATACAAAACTTTGCAAAAGCTAAATTTGCTTTTTTCGGTGGTTATCTCTTCTGATATCAGCTGAGAATTTTTGTCGTCGTGAGAGATACGGAACAGAGCTGTCAATTACAGAAAATACACGTTGACAGTGCGTACAGAGCTGGGTGCAAATTCAACCAGCTTGGTGACGTCACTGAAAGGCTGGATAAAAAGAACACATTCGCCTCCAGTGTCTCCACATTCTCTCTGCAATCCAAATTGATTAAAAATGAACGCACTTGCTTCCAGCCTGGTCCTCACGGCCGTGGTGTCTACCGTCTTTGCCAGCTGCGGTCCTTTTCTCTGTCCGCCAGGTTATACAAAGTGGCAAACTAACTGCTACAAGCTCTTCGATGAAGTCAAGAACTGGGCTGCTGCCGAGCAACGTTGTGTGTAAGAATGGCAAAGTTTGATTCTGCTTCAAGAATTCAGTTCGCATTTTATAAGAGAAAGAATGAATTTTTTAGTAACATTTGTGTTTTCCCCAATGTTTTCGGCATTTTCACAATGTCTTGCATAATCTTCTGCGTTGCTCTTTCTAGTGAGCACAGCAGGGACATGCTTGGGGTATAATTGCTGCAGTACAACAACCAATGCAAACCTTTTTGTATCCGGTGAAAATACAGAATCACCGCTGAATCGGAATGATATTTTCTTATATAGGCACGCTTTCTGTGCATGTTTACCCTTCTTTATGAGAGCCCAGTATTGCATGCGTTTTATTTTCAAACGGCAGTTATCTTGATTTTCACAAGCAGCTATTTTCTTTTTAAAGAACATTTCTTGTTATAACTATCTTTATTTTATTGAGCAGGTATTTCTCATTGTCAAGAGTATTTTTTCGGGATCTTAAAGTTTTGGCCGCGGGCCTTTAATTGATTTGTATACATCAGTTATACAGGCCTGATGGTGGGAAAAGTTGAGAAGGAAAGTCCATATCCCAATTTCATAAATGACATTGGGACGCACAGTCGAGTTCTTAAAAAGTAATTTGCGGGTTTACCGCTGTTTCTATTGATTAACAGCCGCGACAAGTATTACTGTTTCCAAGAGCAGCTGTAAATGTTGTATATAAAGCCGTATTTCCGAAAAGTCAAGTTGTAGCTTATCCCTGTCAAGTGAAAACAGGGGTGAGACTGATAAGACATAGTTTCAAACAAGGAAGGGAAAAATATTTTTAAAAGCTTGTGCATTTCTCTTAGTGCCGATGGGGCCCACTTGGCGTCAGTGCACTCGGCCGCCGAAAACAACTTCGTAAACCAAATGGCACTCCAGGGCACAGCAGGCGGGCAAGAAACCTGGATCGGCTTGAACGACCTCCAGACGGAGAATAGCTTCGTCTGGACTGACGGCTCTCCGATAGACTACACCAACTGGGAGCTTGACGAGCCCAACGACTTCTATCCGGGAGAGGACTGCTCACATCTTAATCACGTCGCCTCAAACGGCGAGTGGAATGACTTCTACTGCGATCAAGAATTTCGGTTCATCTGCAAGAAGTAGTCTTGTAGTCAGAAGTTGTCAAGAAATGACGAGTATAGGCTTCGAGGCATAACCAGACATCGCCTGTGTCCTTTAAATTAGTAGTCTTTGCCACTGTTCCACGTTTCATGCAAAATACTAAATGAAGAGTCACGACATTGATTTTAACAGATTAACTTGAAGAAAGACTATATTTCAAGAAGTTTTAACCTTTTTAACCTAACGTAGAGCATCATAATTAATCAACAAACCACATGGTATGAGGACTAAGCCTAACAGGTGTAATGGTTAAAACTGATTAATCATACACGTGATGAGCAATTGATTCTGGGATGCATGTAAGGTACCCAGGAAATCGAATTTTTATACCTCTGGTTTTCAAATAAAATAAGGTTTAAAATGACAATCTATAAAACTGACACCTTTTGCATGAGACTTATGGTACAGTGTGAGGATTCAGTATTTTCTACAGAAATTGATCGTTTAAAATTAGTCGTCACAATGATATAAATAAACTCGCTGTTTTGCAGTAACGAGGTTTCAGTAAGAAAATGGACGCAAATGTCAAACATATCTATAGTCACAAAAGTCAATGAAGCTATAGTCGACCATGAATCATGCAATGATTTAATTTCCAACTCAAAAGAATTTAAAGGAAAATGAAAGAATTGTCGTGTGCCAGTTTCATTCGATTGCTTACGTTTCCAAAAATACTTTTCACACTTGGCAGAAACTGAACAGGAAAGATGGCGATTAAATCGACTAAATATCGATTATAGTACTGCTGATTCTATAACCAAGTGCCTTTCTATGTCTTGAGTTGAATTTTAATTTGCCCTTTAAGAGTCAAGGCGTGCGCTTAATTAATCATATTATAATATTTGCTTACATTTACATGTAGGTCATACTTACATGCCATGCATACATTTGCACGAGTTAAAAATTGTATGGACATTACACTCATCTGCACGTACACCAAGTAACTTGTACATGCATTGCCTCATGAGGTGTATTCTAGTGTATACAATTCAATGCGTACGAGTCACAATTTGTATACTTTGGAGTGATGAGGCGTGTGTGGTATGCATGACATCATTTCAACCATTCGCCGTTCAAAAACCGTATCTGACTTTGGATTTTAAACAGCACGGATCACCTAAGATGCATTGTTGCTCTCTTCCAGCTTGGTTTTGAAAGCAAAGACTTGATAACATTCAACGTCAGGTATTTAAGCGTCACGAAACAGAATTGGAGACTTAACAAGCTGAGCCGGAAAACCAGACATTACGTTATCGTAAAGATCTATTATTTGCGTTGCGTCATTTTGAACTTGCGCAATATAGCTTTTATGTCAGGCAAAGCTATGACGCAAACATGCTTGCCGCCATCAAGCGTTTCCAAAGTCTTTTACTGTGATAGCTATATTTTTAAACAAAAATAACTGCTACAGGGGTCCTCCTACAACCCACAAAATAACTGCCTTGTCCGTCCGTCTAGTCCGATTTGTGCAAACATTGATCCGAATGATCATTGATCACGAAAAGTGCGCTTTGCCTTTAAGAGTCATACAAGATTCTGCATTTTTCTCATCCTCCAAACCCGGCCTAAACTCTGCCGATGGTAAAATCACCCTCAAACCCGACATTATAAACAATGCCTGAGCATTCATGTAAAGGCTTACCGGTATAACAGAGTTGCTCACGAAGGCTCGCTACGTGGTTTCTTTTGTGCAGCGGATTGAAATGAAAATTTTACTGAATCTCCTTTAACATTAGATTCCACTTCTTAGAGGTCGTCCAACGATGACAAATGTACGACTCACGATCTTCCATTACCATTACCCTCTACAATCGCTGATATTCCTTGTGCACGGTGTAAATCATTGCACCAATTAGCCCTGTGGCTTCGCCTTCATCCTCCCCCATTCATCGTTGAACTCCTGAGCAGACAGCCAGAGCGAGTTGCGGCAACGCTTCAAAGGTCGGTTGTGCGCAGGACACTTGGCTTGTTTACCCGTTTTACAAGTGCAACTTCAACCGCAAACAACGGCCGGTCTATGTAGGGTCGCAGAGCATGGGAGGTGAGCCGGGCAACTTTTTTTCTCATTGTTTATCGATGAATGAGGAAGTTAGTGAAGAAGGAATTTCAAGGAAATGCGAGTTGCTTGCAACAGTGCAGGTCATCTGCATGGCAGTATTTCTCATACACATTAATTAAAAGGGAGGCTGTGAATTTGAAAAAAACGGCAGTGTGAAATGAACAAGTTACACGTTAAGGTACTGTGTTAGAACTTAGTTATTCATGCATGGCGTCACTATTACGAGCATAAAAATGAATAATACAAGGTGGGTGGAGTAGTGAGGACAGTCTTCGTCGGACAGAATATTCAAGAGGGTCAATTCGGAGCAGAGCGCATTTTTCAAAGAACCAATGAGAGTGGAGTGTATCTAATGACAAGGGACCGAGGAGAACAGAAAGTAGTTCTGAAAAGGGACCAATCAGAGCAGACAACGCGGTGGCATCGCAGAGTGTACGACGCAATGTACGGCGTTGGGCGTGACGGGCAAACACGGAAGGAGTGACGTTTAGGTAGAAAAATATGACAAACGGAAAGGAAGACGCGACTTTACGACGCTGCAAATGATGTGACGCCGGAATGTAAAGGTAAGGAAGCGACGACATGATGCACGGAGCAGTTGCGTTACGAATGTAAGAGGCGACGCGATGTGTCATTTATAGTACACCATACTGTTCAGTACCAGCGATAGATGGTGCTGTTAATCAAGCCAACACAAAGCCATTATGGGTACACACAACAGTGATAAATATCCCCACTTCAAAAAATCAGGAAAAATACTCAGAAGTTTCTCAGGTTTTCACGACACACATCAAAATAAAGCTCACTTCGTCATCTTTTATTTTCCTTTCAATTTCAGTGGCTTAACCGATGAATTTGGAAGATGTTTCTCTCCAGAAAAATCACCCCTCAAAACAGTCACTCCATTGCAAAATGAAGCAATTTGGAGGGCCCCGTTTGGTCCGATACTTTCAGAAATTCTAGCTAGCAGTCCTGCCTCTGGATTTCACCCCCCCTTTTTTTTAACAAACCACCCAGTCCACGTGCCACGAAATGCTCTAATAGCAGAGAATTTGACAGCCTACAAATCCTTATTCAGTCCGCGCAGCCAATTTTGGTCCTATTTACTGGCCTGCAATATGATAGAGTTGTGACACGAGTGTCTCAATTGTTGGAACTAAAATGGCGAATGGCGCGGCTGACCCACGAATAAATATTGAGCCGGTTCTCTAACAAGCAAAAGGAGACCACAAGAACTCGGCCTCTGGCTTCGACAGCCTGTACAACATCCACAGACAGGATCCATTGTCATGGCACAGGAAATCTGCCGTATACATGCGAGGAGCCAAAAATAGCAACAATGATTTAAAACAATAAAACAAAACAAACAATTTCCACATGCAAGACGCAGGTAATAAAACAACCGCAACCATCTCTCATTCACAGGTTTGAATTTTTCAAGTTAAACAGACTGGCAAAGTGTATACAGTCAAATTTTGTATAACTGGAAAAAACTAAACTAGTTTAATTCTTAATTTATGTCAAGGGGAAATGGTGTCCGTTTGACAGGGGAAAATGCCAAGCATCTGCTCCGGCGGCAAGGTATAGTCCTTGGGGTGTCACTTTCATTGAGGCGAAAGCAGGAGTCCTATCGTGGACGACCCCCACTAGACGCATCGTGCTCATTGACGGACTGAACTCGTTGGCGGAATACAACTTCACGAACAATGGAGTGTGGGGTCCTCCCCCTCCCAGAGATTCACCTTTCCACCTCTTTCCTTCTTCTGCCTCCATTGTATCTCCGTTCTTTTGAGACCCTTCTTTATTCCCTCCCAGGCTGAAAAAACGGCGTTTTGTTCCAAACACGCATTGGGTCGACAAATTTTGCGCATTATGATTGGCCAACGCGTTGTAAACTCTTGGAGGTGCACTACTGTGAATCGCCCGTATTGCCTCCACAGTTTTACATCTCCACAAAGGCCCAAAAAGCACAAACAAAAAGATGTTTAAATTCTCAACGTACAAGTTCAATTAGTTTCCAGATGAATGTTGATTGCCTGTTCACTTATGAGAGTTTGTTCGAACTCCTGTAGCCATTCTTACAGTTAAGGACCAAAGCCAGCCTGTTGTTCCCGATTAAAATTACTCAAACTAGGGAAAAAGCTCGCCATGTGAATCTTGAAGGTTTACGATGGTAACATGAACAAGGCATTGAAGGTTTGTGCCGGCAGCTAATCTCTTTTTGAGTTGTGGGGTTCTTTCTGATGACGATCAGAACACATCGAATTAAAACAACTGATTTCTTGTTTGAACTCCACAAGTCAAAACTCACAAAAGGGTTTAGTTTCATTGGTATTCCTAAAATCCTTCTATATCAACACTATGACTCTTCATGTCTAGCTGTCAATCATATCGATGCTAGAAACCAGGGAGACAGTTGGAATGACAAGGTGGTTACAAGGATCGATGAAAAATACTACAAAACGGGCTGTCCTGATTCAAAGGAAATATTACATTTGTGAAGTTTGCCGGGAAAAATGCTCATAACATCACACCGACAGCAGATCAATGTTCACAGTGACGATTCCCGCAATGTTTGCACCATGTGGAAATTTGACAGTGAGGAGAGCAGGTTTAGTCAGAATTTATCAAAGATCGATTTCATTTTGATGAAAAATGTATCGTTTGGTTTCTCCAGATCAATTTTCCAAACATTTTTTTTCAATTCCCTTCAAGTTGGGCTGAAACTTGTGTCAACAGCTTGCCAATTAAGTCAAGACATAACATTTATTTTAACACTGTATAAAAGAGAAGTGTTTCTCCAGTGTTTCCATATTTTTCGCCGCCATCCAAGTTGACCCCCCGCGAGTACTGAGCCAAGACTCGAAATGAATGCACTTACCGCCAGCCTCGTCCTCACGGCCCTGGTGACTGCCGTCTTTGCCGGCTGCGGTCCGTCGTGTCCAGAAGGTTATCTCAACTGGGAACACGACTGTTACAAACTCTACGATGAAGCCAAGAACTGGGCTGCTGCCGAGCAACGTTGTGTGTAAGAATGAAAAGTACCAATTTAGCAGTTAGTTCAATGATCCAACCAATCCATTCGCACTTTAAGAGAAGAAATAAAATCTGTTCAGATATTCATGTTATCTCCGAGGCTTTTATTTTCTGAGCATAGCAGGGACAGGTTTCGGATATTATTTTATGGACGCCAACAAAATGCAAACTGGTTAACATCCAGTGAAAACACCCAATCGCACTGTTGAAAGGATGTGATTAATCTTTCTCAGACACTTTTTTGTATTTTTATACTGTGTGAAACTATTTCACATGCTTATAGGGTTAGGTGTACGCACGTAAGCCCATCATTCTGTTTTAACATTTCAAATTGTCCAAGCTTTTCTAAACAACTCAGGGTGCTGTTGCCATGACACCCATCAGGCAAGACACTGTGATACTGGCATACCCGCGTGTGGCACATTTGCTGCTAAAAACCGTTGAGTCACTTTGGCCGTTACTGGAAACGTTAGTGCCAAAGTATGGTCTGTGGTCAAAGGCGAGTTGAACTGCCAACCTTTCTGTTCAAATTGTGCACCCAAACTTTGCTCATGCACTAAAAACATTCTGTGGAAAGGTTGATTGTTGACTTATCGCTATGTATACTCAATCAACATGCTTAGGCCTACCATGAATGAATGGAATTATCTGACGGAAAAATATTTATATGCGGTTTTTTGTGTACAAAATGGGTTTTCCCCTCAGGATGGCATCTCCGTTTTTCTCTTGAATAGAGAAATGTTCACAAGCACAAGAATCAAACCTGAAACCAAAATTTCAAATAAGCTTATAAATTGAAATGCAGAGATGTATTTTTCAAGGGCTGTAGGAAAATCATTGTATAGCATGAGCCCTTTACAATTGTGCTGAACTTTATTTGAAAGCTGTCTTGACTAAATTTTACACGTTTCAGGAAAACATGCTGGAATTACGCATGTGCAAACAATCACACTCATGCTTGAAGAATAATGGCTGTTTTATGAATGTTGAAGGTATAATTAATTTTTTTTCAGTAAAAGATCATTTTCCAGGATGTGTTAAAATAGCTTTAGTGTGGAAAATTATAAATCGAATAGTGAAATTGTAGATTATTTCTCCTTGGTGGAAGCTGGGATGGGGCTGACGAGAAATTGTTGGGGGAAAAAAAAGAAAACAAGAAAAAAATCTTGTCCGTTTCTCTTTAGCGCCGATGGGGCGCACTTGACGTCAGTGCACTCAGCCGAAGAAGACGACTTCCTCAACCAACTGTCCCAGCAAGGCACGGCCGGCAACAAGCACACCTGGATCGGCCTGAACGACCACCAGGCGGAGGGCAGTTATGTCTGGACAGACGGCTCTCCGACGGACTACCTCAACTGGCACAAGGGCGAGCCCAACAACCACGGCAAGGGAGAGCACTGCATGGAGATTAACTTCTTCGAACTGGACGGCACTTGGAACGACCATTTCTGTGATCGAGAGCACCGATTCATCTGCAAGATGCCACCAATATATGACTAGTTGGCTTCAAAGAATAATCAGACATCGCCTATATCCTATAAAATAGTCTTTGTCACTGTGCCACGTTTCATTCCAATATTAATGGAAGAGTCACGACATTTATTTCAACAGATTAACCAGAGAAAACAGACTTTCAAGTGATTAAAACCATATTTAATTTGAAAACCAGAGGTATACATATCGGTCCTGTAATGTCTTTCATATACCCTCTCAAGAAGTGTGACTTATCAATGCTGTGAGGGTTGGTTAAACTATTCTTAACCACCACACCTGTTTGGCTTAGTCCTCCTACCATGCGGCATGTTGATTAATCATGATGCAACAGTATTATATTCTTAACCACCACACCTGTTTGGCTTAGTCCTCCTACCATGCGGCATGTTGATTAATCATGATGCAACAGTATTATTGGTTAAAGGGACATGGAATATCTTACAACATAAACTCCTTTTGTGCAAGAATTATAATCCAATTTCGGGTTTCACTGAACAGAAATTGGGCATTTAAAATTATCCATTATAATGACATAACCTAACGGCTAACTCGCACTTTTTCAATCCAGGGTAATCTTCAACCAACGGTTGGTCTAAAATGCCTCGTGTCGGTGAAAACTGGCATAGGCCTAAGTATCACCTATTTCACACAAACAGACGGCTTATTGATGAGACTTACATTACTACCTTCTACCCGCTGGTTTTACAATTCAGGTTCACAGCATTTGCTGCCCTCACATTAGAATATACAACCCGCCCCTGTTGAGACTTCATGTTGTAGAAATAAGCAATGCCAACAATAAAGCATTTGAAAACATTGCCCACAAAAACATGAGGCTCTGGCCAATTTATTTGGCACTAATTGCGTTCATTCATTACACAGCCTTTGCCGTTCGTCAGGAGATCGTTCGCTCATGAATGTCTTAGTTGAGTACAGTCACAATAAAAGTCACGAAAATCGACAGTGGTTCTTGGTGGAACTTGTATGCTTTAAGATAACTGATGGCAGTGTAAACAAAAATTCTTGTTTTCCAGAAAACAGAAAAGACTGCTTCGATTATGCTGTCATCACAAACGTCGATGAAGTATACTGTTAGATTTCCTATATCTCTTAAAAATACAGCCTGTTAACGTCGGATTTTCTTACCCGAAAAAAAGCTGCTGCGGCAGGTTTTTCCCGCGGATTCTTTAACCTTGCCATTTATCCATGATTCCCATAAAATATGAAGGGAGTTCTTGAGTTCAGGCATCAGTATTTTCATTCTTTTCCCCTTTTTTCAACTACCCTGGTAAAAATTGTGGCGCACGCCCACACGTCAATCGGTTCATATACAAAAGGTCCAGAGCGTATACAGGCGTCACCCGTGGCTACAGTATGTGTTTTTGCCAATACGGGCGTTTCACAATAGCACACCTCCAAGAGTTTGCAACGCGTTGGCCAATTGCATTGCGCGAAATCTGTCGACCCAATGCATTTCCGTTTTATTGATGGGAATAGGCGGGTCTACTTAGTTGCAGCGTCCGCGTGAAGGATCTGTCTTCCGCGCTTTGACCCCATGATCAGGCACGACGCGTTAGTACGTCAGTTGGCGGCGGAATCCTGAAATGAGTGTGCACGTCTTCTGTGGAACAAACAAGGAAACTGTGCGTGTTTACAAGTCACCCGGCGTCAAGTGGTTGAGGGAGAACTGCAAGAATCGTCAACCAACATTCAACCTTTATATTACAAAACACTTGCTACACTTAACCAAAACTGAATAAGGACGACACCATTTAAATCGACAGAGCATGTCGATCACAGTAAGCTCGACTCTAACAACGATTTATCGCAGTCTTGAGGTGAGAGTTTCAAGGCGTATGGCCTATAGTAATGTTTGAAGTGTTAAGTGCATGCATGCGTACATTCGTACGAGCTAGAAGCCTTATTTACAATACAACAATCCATGGTTGCATCATTTATGAGGCGTACAAAGTATCGGTACAAATTGTAAGTTGTGGGTACGAGTCATAATTCGTGCGAGTGACTATGCGGATGCAGTCTGCATTTATCGTCCAGACCAACGATACATTGCTTCAATTTTGCATCCTTTCAGGGTGATCTTGAAAGGTTACACTTAATGATATTCAACACTCGTGTACCCACACTAAGAACGTTTTCTGTGTGAAGCACACATATATATACGGAAGCGTATTTAGGAAATGACTAAAAAAAACTTGAGCCTTATTATTTCGCCCAGACAGGTTACTATTTCGCCCGGGCGAAAAGCCCATTTTCTTTTAAACATGTCCTAAATACGCTTCCGTACATATAACTTACGTGAAAATCACACTTCACAGACACACAGGTACGTTAGGGTAAACATCTGTTGTTTGCGTTGCGTTATATTGAACATGCGCGTAATTTGCTTAAATATGACGCAAATCAAGAGCACAAACATGCTTGCTGCCACCAAGCGTCTCCGCAGTTTCCATTTTTGCAACTTTATCATTAAATAAAAAATAAACAATGCAGTGCTACAACCAACAAACTATCTGCCGTGTCCGTCCCAAGAGTGCAATTACAGTATGGTCGGAATTCGTGCAAACATTGATCAGTGCGCCCAGTCACGACATTGCAAGAGATGACAAAATGAGTTTGAAAGATAAAAAGGGAGGTTTCGATCAAGCGTCGGCAAGGATCCGAGGTCTAACAAAACGTGCACCTGAGGAGGTCAGTCATCAACGTTCCACAATTGATTGCATGTCTCTTGGTAGGACACGACGATAAACTATATTACAGGATAGATCAGTCCTTATTTCAACGGACTTTGACTTCTTCGCTCTATCTTCTGACTGCCCGCCCACTGGAAGCTCAAATCATGCCAAATCGTTAAATTTCAGCTCGCGGCGGAGGCTACGGGTAATTAATTTCTTGCCAGATAAAAATCTTCAATCTGTATCAGCAACAGCCTAAATTGTGTTGTTTAGTGATCATGCTAAACAATTCTTTATCTTCAAATGCTTAATTTAGTGCTGTACCAAATAGAAACAACGAACGGTTTATTTTGCCTTTCAGATAGGCAACAAGAAGGGAAAAGAAACATTAAATATAACGCATCAAAGACAATACAAAAGATAACATATCTCTCTTATATATAGCCTCCAAATTCGGCTCACACTTTGCCGATGGTAAAAAAAAGCCCTGACACCCAACATTATGAGCAATGCCCTGAGCGTAGGTGAAAAGGCAAATAGCAGAGTTGCTCACGAAGGCCCGCCGCCGCCTGTCTTTTGTGCAGAGGTTTGAAATGAAATTTTTACTGATTTCCTTTAAATAATTAGACACCACTTCTAGGAGGTCGTCCGACGAGGCCAATATACAACTCACGATCTTTTGTTGCCATTACCCGCTACAACTGCTCAAATTCCTCGCATACGATATAAATCTTTGCCTCAATCAGCCGTCTGGCCCCGCCTTCAACCCCCCCCCCATTCACCGCCTGCATCCGTTGCACTGATGAGCAGAATACCCAGCGAGCGTCGCAGCGCGCGTTAAAGGTCGGTTCTCGTCGGGCTCGGCACACTTTAGGTTTTTACCCATTCTAGGAGAGGAAACGACAACAAGAGCAGCGTCAACCGCAAACGACGGCCAGTCCACCTGAGTCCCAGAGCTGCGTTGATGCGGAGGGAGAAAGCAGTTCGCAGGAGGTGAGCCGGACAAAATTGATTTTTTTTCCCTCCTAGTTTATCGATGAATATACAAGACCGTAAACCAAGAGGGAGGGGAAATCTGGGTCACTTGCAGCATTTTTTTCACCGGGGATAAGGCCTCATGACGGACACTTCATTGGGAAACATGGTGGCTGTGGGCTCTTTTCAAACAAAACAAAAAATCAACCAAAAAAATTATGCACATTTCAAGGGAGATCCTGAAGTCAAAAAATCTACTGTGTGAAATGAACAGGCCATGAAACTGCATTGTTTGACATTTACACACAGATGCATTTCAAAACCTTTACAAGATTGGCGGTATAATTTATACCTGGAATTCAGCAATTTTATCATGTTCTTCAACACGCGACAAGGTAACCAGGCATAGACAGAATGGAAACGGTTGTGCGCGCGGTTTTATTCGTCCCGTTGTGTGCTCGAAAACAAGTTGATGTAAATTTGCCATGTGGTCTGCATACGTTTGGAATGGTAAGCTTCTCTGTCTATTTTGAAGAGAAATTTAAATTCTCTCTCAGTTCACACATATTCATATTCTGCATGGCTTATTGCCGCCTTTTATACATGCGAACAAAGCTGTGCTTAAAGAAACCTCTATCTGGAGCATCTGATTCAATTACCATCCTCCAAAGCTCTGGGTCAGCAGAGTAAATTGCCACCAAGTTCACGTAGGCCTATGCGACTGTTTTTTAACATTCATGATTATTTAATTGCAACTGTATAACCAATTCATTTCAATCGGAATTGGGTGCCTTGGAGCGTCCTATTATTACTAATATGCCAAACGTATAAGCCAGATTTCATGATACATAAACGTTATGGAGGATGCGCATCATAATATGGCGTTTACAAAGCTCTGATACATTGTGTGTTTCACGAAATGTTGACATTAAAGCAAGTGATTACGCGCGTGGGCCGGGTACGCTTCGCTGCCACACATCTCGCAATTTGCTAATGCACAGATTAGACAAGTCAATCACCCAAAAATGCATTATGAGTTGGAAAGGAATAGCGTCGTGTATTGTCAACGCTGTCTCATAGGGATCGTGAAAGATGCTTAAATGTAGAACTCTTCTTTTGTAAACAAGTAGGCCTACTTTTGTTCAAACACTTCATTTGCGGCGTCGTTATTTGTACAGGTACTATACAAATGGAAAAACTGAGTTGATGTTTTGCTCAACGACGGTTCAATTATACGCCAATTGTTATTTAAAATAAGGTACTTAAGTCAACTGCTCGTGAAAATAGCAGTGCTCGGTGTTTTTGTTTTTGTCGTATAGGGACTGATGATCATTCGTATCCATGGTACGCAGTTTTCTAACAGTCACGAAGTCGAACGTCATGCCAAACGCAACACAGCAGATGTAGGCTAATGAGAAATTTTCTTTCGGACCGATCACTGCCTTATTTTTCTCGCCAGAAGCTAGCAAACATAGGCCCTATATAGCTATAAACCTTTAATTATACAAAACCAAAGGAATAAGTCACTCAGTGTTAAAAAGAATCTCATATGGCTCTCGAAACACCCAAACAATGAACACTATGTACTGCTGAACACCAAATGAGAGTGCGAACCTCGAAAGTAATTGGAAAAAATGTACTGCAAATCATTACTGCAAACATTGGCTGCCCAAATGAATATATAGTTGGTAAAAATGAGAGGTCAATACTTACACCGATACAGAAGCAAACATATCGACATTCAGATTTTTGCCAACTCTTTAATGCGTGAGACTAGATTATTAATTTTTGAAAAACTACCAAAATCAATATTTAAGATGCTTTTTCCTCTGTTAATAATGCAAACCTGTGGCTTATTGACCAACACATGCAGTTTTCATCGAGTTTCGACTGGCGCATATACTACCAAGGCGCATTGAGCACTTAAAATATCAACTTCCTAAAGATTTGATAGGCGTGATCGACAACTGTGAAGGGAAATATTGAACGACATGTGCGAGACTTAATAAAAGCTTAAATAGTTCAGTGTATTTAAAAAGCATGCCGACAACAAGCATCAAAATATGGAAAGATGTAAGAACGAAAAGGCGTGAATTTACGAGACAACTTTTCTTCAGAACAAAGCTATGGTGATTTAAGTAAAAGGCTCACTGTAAACGAGGAAAACAAAAATAAACACGATAACCAATTCAAGTCACCCGAACCGACTCGCAACTGCATCGCATTATTGCATGTATATCTACGGACACGGATACCTAGAATGCCATATTGTAATTGATGAAATTAATGTTTCCGTTTCGGCAAGTTGTGGAAACATGACCCAAATTTCTCGGAGTAACAGTAGCGGTACTGAAGCAAAAGCTTACGTAATACATATTGTGGCAGTGGTGAATCAAGGTGTGGGGCTCAAGAGGGCAAGATGAGATTTTGTTTACCAATTAAACCCGGAAAAAGAGTGTTAGCACTTTCGATTCAAATGTTTTTTTTAATGGAATATGCCCCCAGAAGGGGCATATTGCGCCACTGCTGGATACGCCACGGCTTTATTCGAGGAAGACAGCCTCCAAGTGTAAATTAAATCTTCTAGTAAAATGGTGGAAAAATTAATTGGAGATGGGTAAAACATGACGTCATGTATGACCTTTCACGTCCTGTTTCTCCGTGTTCGCGCACGCTTGTCTTCACTTCACGTAGGCCTACTTACCCATGTGATCGAAAATATACATGGGATGGAGAACATATATAACGTTATCAAGATGTATTTTTTTTTTATATATTTTTTTATATATAACGTTGCCAAGACTTGACTTTAGCGCAGACCGCCGCTAGATTTAGATGGGCTGGCCTACAAAGCTGTTCTTGTTAAAGGATTGATAAGATTTTCAGTTTTTTGGTACGTGCCACTCTTTCCTATAAATCAACAAAAATCTAAACGTACAATAAATCTTGCTTCTTGGTTTCCTGTTTCAAATCCAGTTTTTCTCTGAAGTTTATCTCAAACTAATTTTACAAATTTTCATTTTCGCGCGGGTACACCGAGCTGCACAAGAAGTCAAGCATTTTAAGATTTCCGGAAGTGAATAGTCAATTTTAGCACCATATTTGTCTTTCAGGTTATGCATTTTTTCATTTCTATAAATAAATAGGCTAATAATTTACAACGGCCACCTTTCGGGGAGACTTTAATCAGAACTGAACGAATGAAATGAAATTGGAAATTCTGAAATTGTCCTATTTGGGGGTTCCTGACACGCCACCAGGGTTCAGCTTTTACGCTCCGTTCGATGACCACTTAACCAATGAGCCATTTGCGAGTTGAATTTCAATAAAATCTGGTACACTGATTTATTCTGATTGCACATAAACAAAACAATTAAAAAAAAAAATTGGCCAGGATTTTTTTTTTTTGGGGGGGGCAAAACACTCGGCAGCAAACTGACAAACCATGAAGGAAGAGAGGATCAATTGCGGGGTGCTTTACTCAAGCAAATTGGTGATTTTTTATCACCTCTACTCTCCCCCCCTTCCTGTTTGCTTCCCTTTTCTCTCCCCCTTTTTGATTTTTCGATTTTTAGGGGCACCTCTTGTCCCCCATAGGCGGGATCTGTCTCATGCCAAAAGTAATTTGCTAATGAGATCGTAGTGAAGCAGTCTCAATGTCGTGTCCTGGATGGCACACATATATATTGTGGCACAGGTGTTGAAAACGACCATTCATTTATCTAGCTTCGGCTGACCAAGGCTACTGTATTAGTATGAAGCGCAGGGAATTGGGGTTTGGGTAAGCCACGAGGGACTTGACATTATTGGCTTCTGAACCTACTTCAGCAGCAGAGAGAATGCATAATTATCCTGAACATCGTTAACGAAAATTATGATTAATTATTCATCTTGGAGGAGCTATGGCGGAAATTGAGCATCTTCCCCGATACTGTGGCAGTACATTTTTATGCCTGACGATCAATTAGACATTTTTTTTTTAATCAGGTAAAAGTTCATTTTTTTCGAAACAGGTCAGCTTATTAATTTCTCCCACTGACACGCTCAGTGCACGCGGAGTGACACATAGAAGGCCCTAAACTACAAACTACAGGCAGTTGAGGGCGGGACTGGCTGTGAGATAATCCGTAAAAAACCCAGCTCTTGAAAATTGACTCGCATGCCTCACACTTGCAAGATAAAAAAGGGAACAGGTTTGCTATACACTATAGTATTAGTATACTAGCTACAATTAAGAGAATTTCAATTACCACTGACCTTAACAATTCACGAGTGCGCAGTTTCCCATTTGTTAACTTGGTGAAAGAATTTATCGATATTCTCAAATCGAAGTCGCACGAAACGCGCGAGTGTGTCCTATCCAAAAATGGTTTTCGCAGTGTATGGCGGTGCACGTACAGTAATAACGAGCAGGATGACAATGGCGTTATTGCATATTTTTGCAAATTAATATAAATCTATATCTACAGATTTCAAATTATTAGTGTGGATGTGGGTTCGATGGGGAATATAGCCGCCCCCATATTGCCCACAATGGAGACAGAGATAGGCCTACAGATGAGCAAACCGTGTGTCCAAATCCTCATATGTTTTCGCGGCATGAATTACGGCCTCGGGTAGGAATTGCACGCTGCGGCTTCAAGGATCGTTAGAGTGATTTTTCCCATTCCTCTTGCTGAAATCAATTAAGTAAGAAGAGCCTAGAGAAGATTTTCATGAAGGCTGAACACAGAAAGAACGGGTCATTCCCGGCTTACCGAAGGCTGACTCATCACATCCTTTCACTGTTGACTTGAACCGAATTGAATGATTTATTGCCACACACCACTTATGCATACAACAACGTATTTACGTAGAAACAGTCTTACATAATTGTTCGCCAGATAAAAAGGTTTGAAGTACATTTTTCTCATAAAATAAAAAAAAAATATATATATATATAAATCGACGTAATAACAAAGAACTTACAAACATAACTACAATACAACACCGCCATAATGAATATCGCAACATTACTTACTCGAGATTAACGAAAATTCGAGCAGTTGTTTCAAATTCTCATGGTTTAATTGCCGGACTGTTTCAAAATTACATATAACGAAAACAATACTCTGTAATGGCTGGATGGGTAGACTGGTTAGGATGGGTGGGAAATGTGGCACTAGGAAAGCAAACCAGCCCCCCCCATGGACAGGTTTTTTTCCGGCACTTTCAACAACATTTCTAATATTGCACATCATGAAAACAAATGGGGTGTTTTTCGAATGTTTCGAAATTTTGTGGTTATCATTTTCTCTGCACTATTTTCCTTTATTTTCTTTTTTTCAAAATCTTCGAAGCGCGAATTTGCAACCGCGCCATGCCAGCAAGGATGATTGGCCTGGCATGCTTTCACAATTTAGAGCAATGCAAAATAGTTTACATTTCAGGGTTACAAAATAAGAAAAAATGGGTGGGGAGGACAAAACTACAAAAAGTTTGACTGTTCTCAAAGCACTACTGAATAATCGAGATGTACCGTTGAGCCCACTATGTATGCAAGCTTTCAGTTCTGTAAATACGACAAAAAGCAATCAAGCAAACCAAAACAATCAAATAAATCTACATAAAATACTTCATAATTTACTTTCCATTGCCAGGAAACCATGATCACGTAGACTTTCATGTTTTTACTGTAAGGGGAGGGAGAGATTCGCCGATATACGTGGAAATTAGAAATATAGAGTGAAATTGTATGCGTCGGCGAGCGCAAGCCCAAGCCTGACTAGAGTAAACCAGACGGCTGTTTTGCGAAGAACAGTACCTTCCTCTGAACATCCCGTGTCAATGCCATGGCAACCAACGCCCGATCCATCATGTTTTAACGCATGGCGTGACAAGCTGACTCGGGAGCGAGATTGGGAAGATACGAGAACGCTAACCGGCCCGCCTCGAACAAGATTTTAAGAAGCGACTTTCCGGTTTTCAATGATTAACACAGAATCAACCAATTACTACGGTGTTTCTAGCGGGGCCCAAACAGCCGTACCACGGACACGCTTCACCTCTGCTCGGAGCGGAGGTTGGCTTTTTGAAACGGAAACCTATTCGAAGGAGGAGACATCATGCGGATGGGCTATATCTTAAGACAGAGCCAAGGTGATGAATTGGGTGGGGACGGACTAAGTGCGTTTGGAGAATATGCACGAAACGTGCTCGACTCAAATCAGACGCGGTCAAAGTCTACGCCTCCGAATATTTTGCGACTCTGTACGTGGATCGCACTGTAGTGTTGTTGGTAATAAGCATCTCGCCTCTGGCAGAGGATTGTTGAAAGAGGAAACACATCCATGTTTTAGTAGTGTTACAGGAAAAAAATGAGAATGCTGTTCACAGGTACTTTATTTCTTCAGACTTTATTTACTGTGGTCTTTAAATACCTCCCAGGAAAAACAAAACAGTGGTCACTTTAATTTAAAGCACAAATATATATTTATGTTACTGTTAAAAAAATTTGGTTGTATCCCAAAACAGCAACTTCTGTAATGCCAATTGAACATAGAATCTACTGTTGTTTAATTATAGACATTTTTTAACAGTATGGGTAACCAGCAAGGAAAAGTGTACTTGTACGTGTACCTCCTTCATTTCCGCAGAGAAGACAGATGCGTCCAGAAGATATAATTTGACATTGTTCAAGTCTGCGCATTAATAACAACCAGTTTCCGCAAAAAGATCGAGTTTTTGGTGAAAAAAAAACATACTGCGAGAACGGCGTTGTAGAATGCGCACCGCGAGGTGTTTAAATGACACGATTTCAGCGTCAGATGTTGATTTAACGTCTTTCTTATAACGGGGACATAACCGTACAAATACACTTGTTAATTCGTGAAAGACAATAGTTTTGAGATTTAAACTAGATTGGGTATGATTCACCGGCGGTTAAACCATCAGGCATCAGTCTTAATAGCTTAATCCATGCTGCCCCACCCAATTATAAATGAATTCACAAATGGTGCTTGTCTGGGCTCAATTATCATGAGCAAAAACGTTACTGGTAAAGGCAAATAACCTCAATCCGAAATTAATTTTCCATATTCTAAAAGACAAAATAGTTGATGCACAGGAAAGCATCCTAACTTTTATGCTTAAACTAGACAGGATACGAGTCGGCCATTCACACTTTTCAAAATATTATACTTGCAGAAGGATGAAAACTCCATAACGATCAAGTTCACATCGGTATGGCAGATCGTACTCGATCCAATAGCACTGTGGCAACCACGGCCACGACAGCGACAATGGCTTACCGAAGAAGCACCTCGTCCTCTATGTCCCCTCAGACGTCCTTCGCAGTTGTCCACTCAGGGCCCACCCCAGACTCTGCAGAAGGGACAGCAACCAGCAAGACGCCCAGCGGGTACGCTTCTTCCTGCCCTGACCTTCTGTTTGTCAAGACGGAACCGTGCGCCGTCGGAGAGACTCACCGGAAGCTCCATCTCTCTGCGTCGCTGAGCGAAGGACGGCATAGTCCCCGAGCGGATGGCTACTCGCGGCATCAGCAGCCCCAGAGCACCAAGACCTCCCCCTGCCGAGGGAGGGAAGGACTTTCCCGGAAGACCTCCTCTGTGTCCTCCTGCCGGTCCTCCTCCGAGATGTCGTGCGACGAGGAGCTGGACATTTCCAAGGTCATCCCGGAGATCAAGATCGACGAGCTGCCACAGAGCTCGACACCGTTCCGGGATAAGAACATTTCCGAGATCCTGAGCTTTCTCTTCGTGGGTGACGCCGAGGCAGCCTTCCGGGAGCCCCTCCTGTGTCGTCTGAACATCGAGTGCGTAGTAGATCTGAGCAACCTCTCCCATGATGAGATCTCCAAGTCCATCCGGCTGAAGGACTGCCCTTGCGTTTGCCCGTCGCAGATGAAGCACACGCGCATCCGACTCACCCTGCAGGTGGACGACACGGTGAACGAGGAGATAATCCACTACTTCGACGAGATCAATGCCTTCATCGAAGGCGCCCGGAAAGTAGACCGGAAGTGCCTGGTCTATTGTTTCGCAGGCCGATCTCTTTCGCCGACCATTGTCATCCAGTATCTAATGCAACACAACGGAATGACCCTGAAACAGGCCTACAGTCTGGTGAAGAAGAGACGGCCTGAGACCACCATATCAGCTGGCTTCCGCAGCGCCCTCGTGCGACTTGAGCGGCAGCTGCACCCGAACACCAACCCAGCCATCATGTTTGAGAGTGAGTTTCAGACGGAAGCTGTGGGACTCTCATGCACCCAACAGGCATGGACCTAACTGCAGGTGCAAGTAACATGATCAAATACAAGCTCTCGATGCACGAATTGATAGTAGGTGAGATACGAATTTCAATATACCCGTCCGTTCTCAGCACTACCGCGTAAACTTTCCATTATAATTTTGCCGTTGAACTAAGAAAATTGACTGCAACAGAGGAAGACTCTCGACCATCTGAGCCAACCAGGACTGTAATGACCATCTTGAAATTTCCCCAAGCAATGACTCAAAACCTTCTGTTGTCACATTTAAGCAGTTGGACAAGTCTATCTAGATTCTGCTGTAAACTTACTAGTAAGTTTGGAGCCCTGTTCACTGACGTGGCTGTTGACAATAGCTATTATAATTCGTGAATGTTTACGCACAACGTTTCCGTCAGAGCTCCCCTGGTATTTTTTTCAATAACTTAAACTAGACGAGAAAAGCAGTGTGCTATAAGGTCATCAGTATTTGACTCACCTGTCAACATAAAATAGCCTTAGTTCTGGCAACACATCTCTAAGAAGACCCTGTTTTCGATGTCACTTCTGAAATCTAAATTCACAAACCGTACCAGGTAAAATTCTTCCTCCACTTCTGGGCAGAAATTGTCCTAAACACGTATTGTATATTACACTTGTATTATAACGTGTGAAATTGTGAGTCCATTTTTGTTAAAATGAAAATATGATGCCAACCATTAACTCGCTACTAATATCACAAACGCACCATTTTGTTATCCACCCACAACACACTGCTGAAGCGTACATGTTTTAAGTTCAATTAATATCTAAATGCAACCAAATAATGTCTGGGAAAAATCTCCACTAAGGACTGACTATTTTACCAAATTTTTCGAGAAGAGCTGTTTTTATTTTTCTAAAATAAGCAGCTTACAAAACACCGGGAAGCCTACAAAACTTGGGCAGAATCTAATTAATTAATGAATAATTAAGGAATCGATCAGACAAATATAGCAACAATGGAGCAGCAACACGGCTATCAAAGTCACGTGGTAACATGAAACGCAATCCAATGAAGTTAATGTCAATTTTTGGACAAACTATAGGAGAGTTGTTACGCCGCTTGAGATTGTTTCAGGACCCTTGTACAAGCTTTCGCACTTTTTTCGGTCACAAAGGAACAGCGTCATCCCAAAGATAGGTTTTTGCGGGAGGTGTAATTAGAATATGTTTCCTACTGCATTTGAAATAATCTCAGTGGAATATTGTACTCAAGTTCTTCGAGCCAGCACGAAAATGTCATGAGTGGAATAATTTGACTTACTCTGTACAAATATCACAATGACTTGTAAATTATATAACGGATATAAAATTGTTCTTTCATTTAAAGGTAAATATTGTTGAAATCTCCGATGGTATACTTCAATGCAGTGTACTGTGTGTTCAGGTTTTCTGTTTTTCAAATAACCCCCTTCGGCCGATGTATATGTTTTAATGACATGCTCTTCAGCTCCCGAAGTACAGGTTCGTTCATCTTGATTTAACTGGTCACTGTTCTTTGAAAAGACCAAAATAGCTAGTCTTCACCAATCCTTGTTACCATGACGACCAGGCAATGTGCATGAATGACGTATCTTTCATGGCGACTAGAGGTCAGTGGATTAGTGGAAACTTCTTTTTTCATGCTGACACAAAATACTGAGGTTATTTAAGAGAAAACCTTTAATGGCATGCCAGTGCACTGACATTGGATGGCTACCAAATATCGTAACTTGGAATGACAAAAGTATTAAAGTGGAAATAAATTATCACCTTTCTCTGGATGTTTTGCTTGCCCAGCAGAAGTGTATAAAGGGATATGTAGGATATCTATTGAACCCATGGGATTTGGTACATTTAATGTACATAAAACATTAGGCGCCAACCAATTCTAGGTACGACATCGATTAATTTGTAAAGTTATTTTGATGACACATTAATTTTCCAATGTAATCCTTTGGCTACTTATATATTATTCAGTAACAGAGATCATAAATTGAAGTTACAAAGGTTTGCATTTGGAATCTAAAATCTATATGTGTCGACGTCGCCTGATGAGTTTCGAAAGCCTAAAGTGCAGAATCAGTATCAAGAGACGGGTACTGATACGGCTAAAATCGTCAAGTTTACTGGTAAAACAATTACAGCCACAAAATGCCTAATTCGGAAACGATCAGCTCTTCACTCGTCGGGTTGTGAATGATAAAGTCAACAGAGGGTATCTTCTTGAACTCCTACTGAACCCAACACGGGTTTTAAGCTGACTTAATGGCCACAGGTTATCCATGGTACACTAATCCCTTTTCACTTAAAAGAAATTGAGGCTAATTGTACAATTGGGCAAATACTAAGGCGAGCTATGTGTGGACGAATCGGGCTACATTGCCACTATAAACATTCCAGCTATAGCCCCCTCAAATGATGGACTGCGTTAGTTTCATTGTTTGTAACGGCTGTCTCGAAACACTTGTTTCTTCCAATAATTACACATATCACAGTGTCTTCCACCATTGAAGGGGGTCATTGGGATGTCCAGCGATACATTGGTATGACCACCAGATTACCACATACCTCGGGCTTGAAATTAACGTTGGAGCGTCACTGGTTGCCGTGGGGACCTCATGACGCAGGTTGCACTAGTGACGTGCTTTGTTAATACTGTACTTTCTGGTAACTAACCTGCGCATTGACACAATGGAAACCGATTTATGACAGTGGTGACAGTGTTCATTACTGAGATGTCGTGTTGGTGGCAACAAGCACGAGGTGCTGTCAGCATATTCCGCGATAATCTCTTAATCGTCGTTTGTTGTAACTTGGCCCATTTACCAAAACTATTCGACAGAAAAAAATACTTATTGTCCTCAGTAACAAAATGACAAAGGGCCTACTGGCCTGTGTTACGTTGGTGTGAACTAAAGTTTCTTCATTACAGGCAAAATTTTCAACAGATACCAATGTGGACGAATTATGTTTTTCATTTATTGACACACCACCTCAGCTGAATGACTCAGAGGACTTGTGACACGCCCGTATCGTATCTGGAACGAAATACCTTTTGAAAGTTTGTCTGTGGTGGAGAATGTTTTTCGTTCACTTTTTTTCGGACAGTTTGAGGCCCCGACAAGAGATTTTCACAGAGAGTGTCGGTCTGTTACCATGAAATAATGTTACTCTTTCTATTACTATTACTCCAAAAACGGAACAAAAATTGTAAACAAAAACGTAGGCCACGATACCATTCAGATTCTGAGCGAAACACATCACAGCATAAATCTACTTTCCTTTCTGTTGCTCTGAAATGTTAAATAAAGATCTCACTTCTCTGAGGGAGAGAAAGAGGAAAGTGGGTTAATTTGCTTCGAGCGAAGGGCTTTGCTATTTATTTTAGGTCTCAGCTGCGGAACCATTACTCATTCCGTCTTCCTGGTTACCGTATGCGGAGGACTGGGAGCTTGATTCTGTGAGCTATAACGCTGTGTGCTTGGCACACAACGAGATCTACGGTTATACAGATCATTACTCGATTTCGACTTGATCAAATCTATAATGCTTAATCAAAATAAGCACCCGAAGACCTGTTCTGTGCGAAGCAAAAGGCATGCAGATCCTTCTCATCATGGAGGGCGCCCTGCAATGATCTCGAGCAGAGCTGTTTTAAAGAGAGTATAGACTTGTCTCAATATTGTTGGAACCAAAATGGTGGATGATGCGTTGGTGCACATGTATAATAAGCACACAATACCGCATGCAGTGCTGTGCACATAATGAACAGCAATTTGGATTCCAAAGTCTAAAGTTGCCGCTACAGCTCTGATCTCAAGCAAGCATCGGACGTTTGTTGAAATTCACACAGCGTTGAAATAAATTTTAACAAGAGCGTATCAATGTATATACAAGAAGACTACTTAGGCCAATCACCTGCGGTTTATTTACCACACTGTTGGCAAGTCCGTCCCTTGAAAGTTTTCCATTTTTCCGGACAGGAATTTAAGAAAGGTTTTTTGTATAGCATTTATTGAGAGGCCGCCGCCTGTGTGAACTTCCCTTGCAACACTCTGACACTTCGTACAAATTTGTAACGTTTACATCTTGATACAGGTTATCAATATAAACATGACGGTCATCACAAACCTGACCCGTTTACCATGGCTGTCTGTAGCTGACAGTGCAAAGGTTCAACCGTGGGAATGACCGGGGATTCTTGTTTGTCATTTTTTTTGGGGGGGGCACAAAGTCTTCAAGTTCGGTCTCGTTGCACTTTAAATTACAAATCAGAAATTTCTGCTCTGACAGTGAACGCCAACGGTACCCATTTGAAACCACGTGCCGCTCGAGAAATGCCATAAAAGTTTGAATGATGAATTTTAGCTGGAACCTCATGAGGCTCCGATGAACGTGCTAAAGCCGGAAACGTTGACAGGCGAATTTGCGACTTGGGAAAAATGCTGATAGAACCGGCTACAAGCAATTTTTTCAGGATTTGGGTTTTGTTTCAGTTTTTGTAGGCCCTAGGTTGTCCGAGCAGATATTTTGTAATATCAACTGTAATTGCACGCATGGACCTTGAGAGAAAGATGGGAAACCTCGAATTATTTTCTACGAGGACAATTAGTTTCAATTATGAGGCACAATTGTGTTCACATCGCGTGGCAGCCTATCAGGATATCCAAGTCAAAACACAGGATGGAGCGGGGAATTTCCGCTTCCTGCTATATCAAGATTACATATTGCTATTGTTTCACTTCTGACTCAAACTGGCCCGATGAGGCCTGCTTCAGTCCCAGCTATCCTTTCCTGTCAAAGCTCTGAGACTGCTCACGAACGATTGAGTCCTGACGGTTCTTGTACAGCATGCTCATCAGTCACAAACTGATTGCAGTTTGAAGTTGAGATCTGTAGTCTGGCACGGACAGGGCAGATTCGTTGCAGGATTTACGATGGGCACATTTTAAAGTTGCCAGGATTGCCTCTCGCGACGGTTGCCACTGAAAATGGGTTTTCAGGCAGCGCATGTAGGCGACCTATAGACTTTCAAGTTCTTCAAAGCATCATCTTCGACACTGCCATCCCCATCGTCTCCCATCAGCATCATCATCATCATCACCATCATCACCATCATCACCATCATCACCAAGAAAACAATTATCCTCAGCCCAAGGAACCATACAGCAAGGAAACATTGCACTGAGCTGGAGTGTGTTTATTAATAACACGTACACACACGGTAAGTCAAACCTCTATGTAGGAAGTGCTTCTTTGCCCCAGTAAACGCAGGTGTTGTGATACTATACTGTCACTGATCAAATAGCCACCCAGTCATCTATGGATACCAAAAACTTGCAACATGATTCACCCTCAGTTGGTGACAAATTTTTGCCTCAGAATACACAGAGGAACAGGGAGTAGTTTTGACGGCTGCCTGAACTTTTCAGTATTTTGTGGATTGTTTGTTTTTGTCCTAGCCAGCCCTTGTTTTCCGGCCTCTATTAAGCAAAAACTACTACGTGACTGTGACGCAAAGAAAGAGGCCGTAGAAACACAGAATAAGCCGCACAAGTATCGATTCTTCTGTTTTCTGTTGATGATAAAATCATGGGTGAAACGCTTCCTCAAATGTAATTCTTGTGAAGGATTTCTGATCAGGACGCAGAATGTAATCCTTGATACTTAGAAAACGCACTGAAAGTTAATCAAACTGAATCCAAGTCATGGAAAACGCTAAACTCTACTGGGAGATGTCCGTGGAATGTTGACAAGGAACCCACATGTTTGCAATCTTGACTGAGGCTTGTGTAATGATGGCTAGTCGGGGCCTACGTACAAGTTAGCTCATGATTTAAAGAATTTGTTTCATTCTATAAGATTCTGAGAATTTTTAAAAAGTTTGCCAGTGTATGACTTCTGTAAAACAGGTCTTGCATTACGTCTTTTCCGAAACGAGTCCGATGCTTCCTTTGTGATTTTAGCTACTCCGGAAACACGATATTTACGTACATGTAAATTTATATCATGATAATGCCGGTACATGCTTTGAATCTCGATGTTTCAAAACAAATTGAATGAATCATATCACGTGTCACAATTTTTTTTCAAAACAGGGTATTAATTGGCACGATGTTTTATAATTACCAACGAGTAATTGGTTTTTAATCTGATGAAAATCTAATCATAATATGGAGGGGGAGCCAATTTTCGGTAGGCGTTAGGTCCATCGCCAATTAAAGTGGCAGGGTTCCTCGAAAAAGTATGAACAACATCGATTGGAGGGTTGACACCGTCAGTGTGAAGTATAACCTTGGCCTTGATACTGCTTTGACGGGGACTCTCGGGGTATTTTAGAAAGGTTAGACTGCCCTGGAGCGGTCAAGCCCTTATTGAAGTTAATGGCTCAGATAACATGTACATGTACAGTCATCGCTCCCGAGCGTCCGTCCCGCCAATTAAAAGACCTGTGAAGTGGCGCACTCAGTCTCCCGGACGCACGATCGTGCACACTTGCTGATTTCTCACTCATACCAAATGACGCGACTTCTCCGCAGTCATCCGAGATGAAACACTTTTCATTTCTAGCCTAGGTAATCAGCAACGTAAACAACCGTGTCTGTTGAACTAGCTGTTCAACCCTTATCATGGCTTAGGCCAGTCTAATTTTTGTCTTGCTGGGTATCATTATTTTTTATGCTTGTCTGGATTTCTCATGAGGTACGATGTCTATTATGCGTATGACATCTGTTTAATATTTCCCGGCACGGGCAGATCGTGGTGGACTGGATGGACAGCCCTGAGTGAGTGTACGTGTACAACTGCTGGCAGCGAAAGCGCGCAGGATCAGCGTATCGCTGCACGAGAATGGCCCTTTCTACAGTACTCAGAGTAAGTAGATGAGTCTTTGACCGAAAATTAACATACAGGGACTTGTAAACACCCTGGCCTTAGTCGCCTTAGTCTTGGGGTACTGTGGATATTTATGCTATGTACAACAATGCCAATGTCAAGAACCTTGACGTTGAACGGCTCATGTTCTCACTCACACTCATGTGAATCATTTTCAGACCTTCCATGCAGCGGTTGTCTGCTGAACTGCAGTGGTTCTGCCAGCGCATAAATTAACAGGGGTGCTTTCGGTTTATGCTCGGTCTATACGCGGCAGCCTACACAAGGAATAGTATATTGGCTTGTAAAGGAATCCATAAAAATATGGATGCCAAACGGCGAATCGTAAATAATGAACGGTCATAATTTTAGCGCAGAGCGTTGCATAAAGTCAGTAGTACACATGCGCCATGACCGTTTCCCTCCTAATTTCCACGGGTTAACATGGAGCATCTCCATAAAATAATCATCGAATACTAGATTCCGTTTTTCACCTGTCAAAGCAGTCTATAATTAAGTTTGGCTCCGTCAATCCAAATCCTCGTTGGTCTCAGCCTATGATAATCGTAAAATTGGTTTATAAATACCCCTTTACATGTATAACTATCAATGTACCTCTCTTTGGCTGGATTGATAATTAGGCCTACACGTCTCACGTTGACGGCAAGGGCTATCTTAAAAATAGCCGTGAGTGGGCGATGGGGCTTTCAACTCCCCACAATCTGCTCAAGATCTGATCCAAACCGAAAAGGAGAATACCCGCGACCCAAACCACGCACTTGCGGAGAGGAAAGCCCCATTTCAATTGTCAAAAGGTATCATTGTGATTGCATGTCTACAACACAGAAATGTGCTCCTTAATTTACACAGTTTGAGCAAGTAAAGCACAACTTGTTCCCAAATAAATTACATAATTGGGAAAAGGGTCATTAACAGACAGGATCCTTTGCATTAATTCTACAGCCTACATCTACAGGTAACATGTTTCTACTAAAAAAAAGCCTTGAGTAGATAAACTGACGATAGAACACAATTGTTCTGTAATTTATTAATCAAGCAGGCTGTTAATTAAGAATTTAATAATAAGTAGTAAGGCCTAATTGTTTGCAACGGGGTATACACTGTGACCTGATTGGGGCTTAATTAAACTCCAGTTCATGAATGTACGAATTCAAATCGTTTTGGTATCAGAATGGAGGTAGACTTTGTACCTCCATGATATCAGAAAGCGGAATTCGGGATACTCTTGGTTCCAAGACCTCACTTTCCTCCTTTCATAGCCGAAATGGATAGTTTGTGATCGCGGAACAAGATGTCTTGGAACCAAGACTTGAGTCGGGGTTGTAGGTCATCGCACCATCGCTGGAATCGTTTGGGGAAGAATCCACTTTTTTCTCGGTAAACCCAATGTAATTTCAATGTCGATAGTTTTTCAGTATATTCCTTCGATCTGTATGTTTATTTTGCAAAACACCTGCTGTGGGGTTTCCCCGGCGATTAGCGGTGGTCAGTCGATCTAAACACGGAGCTATTAAACACAATGGCTCCATGAATCTAAACGAGAGTGGCAAGATTACCGCTGATCCCGCTTGGGTGTAAACAGAAACTCGCAACGAATGAATCACCCTCGACCGTCAGGGGGCAATTCTGCACCAGTCTGTCTCGTCACTAGTGGAGCGTCATCCTTTTTCTTTATGGACGACAAATCGGAGAGTGCTCCTAGTTACAAGATTGTAAGGCCTTCGTTGTGTTTAATCTCTATATCCATCGACGCATAACAAGCCCCATATATGCATTAACTCCATAAGGAAACTTGCCGTTACGAATAGCAACTTTCACGATTCCACACATTTTTCTGATTAAAACGCTGGGTCCTTTGGACGTCATGAAACGTTTGCTGTGAATTTTGCTGAATTTGAATTGCGCTCACTTCTGCGCATGGCCGTAAATCCCAGGGGATGGAGTGTAATGGGTTATTGAATCACCCCCACTTCTTGGCAGCCAAAATGCATTCAGTATATAGAGAAGAATTTTAAAAAGACGTAAATGTGCCGTTTTGATGTAAGGTTCTGCAGGAAGTGTCGTACACATGGTATCAGCTTTTCAAATATCCATCGGTGGGCAAGTCATCCCCCCACAATTCCCGTCCTCCATCGAACAGTTCTCTGAAAAAAATACACCACTGCTTCTGCGAGTTTACAGCGCGAGTATTAACTTATCCAACGCCACAAAGTTTCGATGGTGTCAGCTTTCGAGCCAAGAAAAAACAGCTTTTAGGTCTGCAATACAATAATTTGTGTTCAACAATGCGATTTTGTTGGGATGTCGTGCATTCTTTTCTGACAGCATCTTTTGGGGCCATCCGCTGATGGGGGTGTCCCACCCGGCCGGAAATAAACGATGACGTCACGGAATTAAACAGTTTTGCAAGTTTTACATCACGATGTTGTTTGCGATGCCGTGGATTAAAACTTAGCGTTGCGGTATCATCGTAACTGGATTCGGTGAAGTCGAGCAAAGTTTAGCTTTTTGGTATTTTTCTGGATATAATAAATAAAATGAAATAAATTTCTGTCGGACAATGTTGGATGAGTGTGTCACCGCAGACCCGCGTGTGGATGGTGTGTCGACCTTACACCTAAAAGGGCGTAGGCTCGACTAATTTCAGCTGTCAAAGTCTGGTTTCAGCCATTCGGTTTATAGGATTCGAACAGCAGCAACAAGTAGGTTTGGTACCGTTCAAATTTTAGTCTAATGTGAAGCCCTTCCCGTTGTCAATAGGCATGGACTCGTTTTTCATAATTATACTTAAATTGCTCGTCTGTGGATATGACACATAGGATGTCTGTAGCACGGTCAGAAAGGTAGGCCAAGAACTCCTTTAAATTTGCGACATGAATGTCTCGATTGTTGGCACCAAAATGGCGGATTATGCGTCAGTGCTCATAGACAATTAGCCCGCAATAGCTGCATGCTGTACTGTTCACACAATGAACAGCCATTTTGATCCCAAAGTCTGAAGTTGGCGCTGCTCTCACTAGAGTATATGGGCGTATTCGAAACCCCCTTGAACGGGGAAAATCAACACGCGAACATTGTTCGTGAACAAGATTCTCACTCCCTACTTTCTGGGGAGTGGATGGAGAACATCAAGAACGTAACAAAGATGGCGGAACTTAATTTTGGTTTTGTTACATAAGATGGAAAACACTCACAATAAGGAAAATGAAACCCAGGGAAAATACTCATGGCTATCGGAGAGAATTTACCCTGACCATTTAATATGGATATTTGGGGATTTTATTTCATGTGAGATGGTAAATGTCATGTCATAGTTTCATTTTTGTGTCAAAATGGCGACTGCTATCTTGACCTTCAGCGCAGCTCTATGGGTAAGCCATATGTTGCCAGCGCCATCGAATCGATATTCTGAAATCCTGCTATGCTATGAAAATATTGCGTTGACGCGAGAGCAGCTACTTATGTATCGCTCTTGCGCCTTGCGTATAGCGGTCTGTTTTGATGATGCATGTAGTTCAAAGAAACTAAGATATACCGAAAAAGCGGCAGTTTAAGTCGGAAGTCTATGCTTAATCTGTCTCCTAAGCAATTAATCATCCACGCGGTAAACAAAATCGAGAAGTGACTACGGAAGCAAGGGTGAATTATAAGAACGATTTTGTTAGGCCGAAAATTAAAATCACCAAGTACACGGAAAAAATTATCTTATTATTGTGCCAACTGTCAACTAATCAGAATAGAAGAAACCGTCAGTTGCCTTCTTCGAGGTCTCATCGTTAAAGCACAACACAAGAAATTGTCGTCGGTAGGGCACTTTGGAATTTGCAAGGATGTCTGCTCCCTTTAGGTACCAGGGCCGTGAGGAACGAGCCCCTTGTTATAAATGCTTTGTTTGATAGCTACTAACCTGTCAAAAGGGAACCCTAGGAATTACTGAGACTCACATGATTAGTGTGTCATTCTGTTGGTTCTGGGGAGAACGGGTCCTCTTGATAGATCCCGGGGGTCATTAGGAGAGTTTGCTTTTTAACATCCCAAGTACCTGTAATAACGAAAAAAACAAGTCAAAAGCAGAAAAAGATGGCGTAAGTGGGCAACGAAAGCTCACCTTGTCACTGCTTTTCTCACTCGATTGTTACGTACATGTACAGTCGAACCTGTTATAATACAAGATTCTGGCTCCATGTATAACAAGGAAATGATATGATGTGGTTCCAGTCCTTTCTTTTTCATTGTTTTCATTCCTGATAATACAAAGTTCCTGTTATAACAAAGTAACGTGCCAAGTCCCAAGGACCTCTTATTAATGAGGTTCGACTATACTTTGGTTTATCTCCTGCAGGTTTTGTCTCAAAGTTCTGCGTCAGCCTATTCCCTCTGCACGTGCAATACGAAAATAGAGCGACGCCAAAAACCTGTACACGGGAATAATCTAATTATGATCAATAACAGCTATGCTGCGCGGTTACTATTCATACTCAACTAGAACTGCGCATCACAAAACTGCATGTACTTGCGGAGACACTGTGTACAGTGTTTGGAAAAGCTCCCATGAAGAGATAAGTTTGAACAAAATTTTAAATACATCAGTGGATTTTGCCTTTGTTAAGTGAAACAGTATAAGTTACTTCAAAGCCTGGGAAAAGCACAAACAAATGAACGATCTCCAAGAGTAACCTTAGTTCCGCTTCATGACAATGTATAGGGATGGTCAAGTGTCAACCTGTCCTTTATGTACTGAGCAGCTTGCGTGACTGGGATAACTCTTTAACTGTCGGGAACGAATATCGCGGTTTTTTTCCCCTGGAGATTTGCTTGCCTGAATGTATGGATAAGGTACCCTGGGTGTCTCGTTTTCAGTGAAACGCGATAGGGAGATTTAAAGACAGGTGAAGTGGGTCTTTTTAACCGCACAGCATATTGGAAACCGTGACGTGACTGTTAATGAAGGTTGACATCATCAGATATCAAGTTGATACCAGAGATCCAATGACACATTAATGGGGTGGATCCAGGAATTTTTCCGAGGGGGGCAGGCTGGAGATTATTTTTCATCTCTCATTTTGTGCAGACAAGCGAAAACGATGATGACACATGACACACATAGTTTACAGTGGTGTACTTCGTTAAGTTATTTATATTATTTTTCCCATTTATTTTTCTGTTTTTAAGAGCAAGAGGGGGGATTCGACCCCTACCCGCTGGATCCACGCCTGTTATTTCAGTGGCATGCACCTAAGGTGGGGGTGCCGGGGGGGGGGGCTTGAGCATCCCAACCACCACAAGAGGTCGTCAATTGTTTTACTTTCTGGAAAACAAAAACACTATATACAACTACACATACACCATTCTTAACTACTCTAATAGCTGTACTTCCATGGAGCTCTCATAGCTCCGTGGTACTTCCAAGTCCCCTGTAGCACAATTGGGGGCGGAGCTTAAGCACCATGAGTTATGCTGGGGGGAGGCTACTGTACGAGCCTCCCCCCATGACAATTTCGGGGTCCGCCACTGCGTTATTTAACGCAAAACAAGCTCAGAGGGGACTTTGTAGGGTTATCTCGTGCACGTTCCCTTCAAATTTGTCTAAGCAATTTCGAATTTCGATAGGAATGCTAGCGGAGGCTAATTCCGAGGGGGTCGAAGGTGTGATAAACATCTCGTCTGGTTCGGTCCTCCAACATTAGTTTTGAATATGAAACAAAGGCACACTATTCTTAAAATGGAAAATCGCTGACTCAAAATCAACAACTTCTACTTGGCTGATTTTATCTAAAAATTAATTCCAGCAGAAATTTGGCCACAGCAATGGGCACTCACGGAAGTGTTGAGCTTTAGAGGGCTAATTATGTTGAACGCATTTCGGGCATGCACAGAACGAAACACGAACAAGAGGGAACTACAGGCCCAAAGAAAAAAAAAATTACATAAGTTAATAAGCATTTACAAGAAGGGGAATTCGTGATATTTGTTATTCATTTCGGTGCAAGAATATGTTTACACAAGCCTATTGGTCACGACAGATGGCAACATGGGTTGTAAAAAAATCTGTAATGTCATTTCAAGCATCCGGGAGGCCCCAAGTGTACGCTATGATTCAACTATAGGCCTTGACGGGTGTGACATTGCAAATTGTGGCCCAATATACCCCGCAGAATTTCTTTTTTTCCCCCTGCAAAATAGATTTTCAAAGCTGTGGGATGCATTCTACGTTGGCTTTATTATGTTGACGAATTGAGGTACATGGCTATACCGTTAGGATGGGAGCTATTCAAGTGGGGATCTGTAGCCCGCAAATTACCAAGGACCGAAATAATCGATGTGATCCTACCCCCATCCGACATTTTTCTTTGGAATGTTACCATGTATGATTAATGCCAGAATGATTGGACATATATTTCCTCAACTTCTCAAATATCTTTGCCAATCAGATGAAGAGATGTGTTCTCTCCCATGCAGCCCGCCCAATTATGGCGTGTAAGCGGGGGGTGGGGCCTATTAACGACGCCCGCACGCGTCTTTTCAAGACCAGCTTATGTAATTATCATCTGGCCAGCACATAATATAACGTGGTTCTACATACATGTAGTGTGGACACGATCCGTACCGTAGCAGGATCGGAGGAAATGCCAATAAAGACAGAGCCACAGAACGGAAAGTCCAAACAATGGCGAGTTGTGTAATGACAACTTGCCCATGTGTTGAAAAAATAACGCAACATTAACCTATTGTTTCAAAGGTCTGTGAACATAAACCTGTTATTTCAAAGGTCTGTGAACTTTTCTTAATCGACCAAAATGTTCCTCGTAACAGGAAGATTGTTCTTTTTTGTGTGTAGCACTTCGGGATGTGATTGTCGTACACTCACTCAAAACCGCAGTAATGACGAAACCACTGTGCTTTACTGTTCAAAATTACCGCGATCTCTGTTCAAAACCATACATTAATGTTACACACATTATTATGCGCAAGTTCATGCGCAATTTATGCCGTCCTTACAGTTATCTCGACTGTAGGCTCAAGGGATCAGGCCTACTTTGAGCGTCTTTGTAGCACACTCTATTTGAAAAAAAAATCACATGCTTCAGCGAATAGCACTTCGTGTGTTTGCCTTTTCCACGGGATCAAAATCGATAAGGCTTGATTGATTTATAATTTAAGCGAAGAATGTTTAACCTCACTTTTCTGTCGGCAATTCTGATCGGTAAAATCTTTGGCAAAAGTGGTCTCGACTGTTGCGACAGACGGCAATGGAAGAGAGTTGTCAATAGTCATCCGCTCACGCCGGATGGTTGTAGAAAATGCGACGTACAAAAAGTTCAGTGTCCGAAGTTCCTGGGTTGAGTAACTCAACGATTTAAATTTTAGAAAGACGGCTCTGTTAATTTCATTAAATTCTTTCCATTGTTACCAATTCATACATAGAAAATAATACCACTGCGGTATGGGTGTAGTTCAGTTCCTGTTATTAACACGAAAGGGCATTACGCGTCAACTAACCCTGTTGTCTCGATCACATCCGTATCGTACACGATTTCAATCGGCTTCCACCCCACAGAAATAGAGTCTGGATCTTGGATCCTGTCTTCGTGCCTTGTCTAGCAACATAAATTATTCAACCCGCACCTCAACCTGCGGTACTCCAAAGACGCCCCACCCATTTTACTGTCACTCTTATCCACCTCAATCCATCTCATGGTTATAAGCTTTTGCCACCTGTTTTCCGAGGAAGTCAGTAGCTTTGACAAAATATTATAAAGGAAAACAAAGGCTACATGCACGGTTCATGCTGACGAGCAACCGGGGATGTCTGTTGTGAAACTTAGATGTCGACGGTGATATCATGGTGGCCCAATAGACCCTGGTCATTGAAACAGATAATCGGCTTTGTGCACAATGTCCATTTTGCGACAACTTAAAAAAAAAACAAGTCCAAGTTAGTTTATCGGCAAAATGATTTGTTGATAAAAGGGTCATTTTGGAAGGAGACGGCACTTGCCTTTTTGTTTTGGAAAAACGTTTTGCATTACTAGTGTTACAGAATTAAAAACAAATCATTCGTCTGCGTTTTCCGGATGATGACAGCTCTTCAAATCTCAGGTCTTACGGCGTGGCCTCCTGACCTCTTGAACGAGAAAAAAGGCATTTGGTAAAATTTTGATTTTGAAGTTCAGTGAAAAACAGACGTTTCGAGCGGTGCTGCCGATACGTGTGCGGAGACGTTCGTCAGTCGTGTATAATTATATCTAACCCTTGGGAGTCACCCTCATGCAGACCAGACACTCATCAGGGTTTTCCCCGGTCACTGAGCAGCCTGAACCCCTCCCCCGGTTACACCGGCTCTGACAGTTTCAACCAGAAGTCGTTGCTCTGGAAAATAAGAAATATCCTCTCTGCCGCACAGGTTTATTTCTAGTGGGGATACTGGTTGCATTCGATGCTGACCTGCTTGGCTCATATCTCAGGAACGCGACGTTTGTAGTTAAACTTTTAAAATTTTACACTCAAACTCTGTGCAAAGCAAAGGACAACGCTGGTCGTAAAGGGATGGGTATTTAATAGCCAGTGGGAGACAGAGACAGCTCCCCTTCCCGGAAAACTAGTTTTAATTAGTCTTTTCGTTTCTAATTTATTGTGTTACATTTGTAATTAAAGTGAAGGATGTGGAGGAAATGCATCATCAGAACATTTTCACTTGTTGGCCTATCTACTATAATAGGCCTAGTCCCTGCCCACCCCTCAGCTCTTCAATTTTTTTTCGGCAGAGGGAGGATTGGGAGTGGCTGCCTTGATCTTGGTAAATAGTCCCTGATCAGCTCCTATTGTCGCAACACTCAGGCAAGGAGAGGTGGACGACTGTTCATGAGTATTACGCTTAAAATTCCTCAGGGCTTCGGTGAATTTTTAGTGTCACGGGTATCTTTGATGTGCTGGGGAAGATTACTCCAATCCTGTGCAGTTTGGATGAAAAAAGAACGTTTGTAGGTTTGGGTGCTGGTGAACGGTATCGGGAAACATTTAGCCTTAGAATTTCTTGTAGGCCTGCAGATGACTGATTGTTTAAATGAAACTTCAGAGGGTAAGGTCACCATCGGTTTGATTGTAAATAATCTTGTGCATGTTGACAAGTCTCTGGATGTATCTGCGGTCCTCTAATATGGGGAGTTGCTATTTGTGAAGAAGAGCCGTGACTGATGAATTATCCCAGTTGTAATTATCAGTGGTGAATCGGACTGCTCAATGTTGAACCATCTCAATCTTGTGTCTATTGTTGGCAGCGTAGGGTTCCCAGAAGAGCTGCAATACTCCAAATGTTGTCGAACTAAGCTCTGATAAGCTCAAAGTTTCATCTTTTGTGGCGCAGAACTCACATTCGCTTCAAAAAACAAAGCAGGCTCCTACTGGCCCTAGAAGAGACTGCCTTCACGTTAAAATTCCATTTCACGTCCCGAGATAGATGCACACCTCCGATATTTATAGCGTTTCACTGATTTAAGAATGTGGCCTCCCAACGAATATGGATATTTCATTACATTTTTCTTATTTGTGAAACGAGGAGCATTGGTTTGAAGCGCAGCTGCCAGCACTGCTCCCATTTCTCCAAGGCCCTAAGATCTAGTTGAATAGCCTCACAATCTTCAGTTACTTTTATTTGGCGAAAGATGGCACAATCGCCATTAAATAAGCTAATGTCTGAAAGACCTCGCACAATATCATTAATTTAAATCAAAAACAGAAGGGGGACGAGGACTGTGCCTTGAGGCACCCCCGATAAGACAGGGACTGGCTGTGAACTAACATCTTGTAAGAAAACTGTTCATTGTTGACTGTTCACACTGGGTGAGAAAAGTAGAGATCCGTTTATGCAGTGGCTCCTGAATTCCATAATGGTGAAGCCTTTTCAACAATCTTTTGTGAGGGACAGTATCAAATGCGTTTGCAAAATCTAAAACTACTGCATCAACCTGGCTACGGTTGTGAGCAGATGCAAAAATATTGTGAACAGTAGTGAGAAGTTGAGTTTCACAATTAACACTCTAAAAACACTAGGGTCAGTCTGACCCGGAATCTGGGTCCCATGGGGCCTTACCCCTTTCCAGGTCAAAATATGACTCCCTTTTATATTATGACCCCCTTTTGGGTCATATTTGACCCTGAAAGGGGTCAGGCCCCATGGGACCCAGATTCCAGGTCAGGCTGACCCTGATGTTTTTAGAGTGAAGATCTGCGTGCCCCAAATCCATGCTGGAGGTCAGTTAGTTCCCCGTGTTCTTGTGGATGAGACATGACATGACTACAGAATTGTTGTTCCAAGACCTTACAGCACACAGCAGTAAGTGAAACAGGCCTGTAGTTTGCCGGATCCGTTCTGCAGTCCTTCTTAAATCTAAAGAACGGTTGCCTGTCTTGATATTTTGGTTGAAAATAACACTGAGCACTGAAGCAATCTGACTAGCACAGCATTTCAGTACAAATGGATGTAAGCAATCCAGTCCTGGAGCTTTAGTTGCCACTAAATTTTCAAGGAGTTTCCAAACACCTGCTGGATTGATAATTGGGGTCATGGTGACAGGAAGTGTCTCACTATTAAGACTTGGAATAGATGATGTTGATTCACGGGTGAATACAGACTGGAAATACTAAGAGCTTCAGCCTTTTCCTTTGGAGTATTCACAAGCCTATTATTTGAAAGAAGAACTGCAATTCCTGTTGAATCACTCCTCCTGCTCTCAATAAATGCCCGAAACTTCTTAGGGTTGAAACAAAGATACGTTTTCCTCAATTCTTTTGGTACATTACGCCGAAGGGGTCTATATTGTTGCCAGTGTTTCATGTCCATTCACTTGCTTTGCCTTGACAAAAGACCTGTTATTCTGTCTAACTCTAACCAGCCGTTTAAGAGGTTGGTTCATCCATGGCAAGTTGTAACGAGAACTTCTAATTACAGATGGAATATGCTTCTCCATTGATGAGTGAACTGCATTTTTAAATAGCTCAAGTTTTTATCCAGTGATCTAGATTCTCAAGGAAGAAATACTGGAAAGACTGAAGGTCCTCCTGTGAGCCTTTCATTACATCAGCTTTATAAAAAAGATGCACTCTTCAACGTCCACCTTTTATGACTGGCTTTATCAACGGCTCTGCTGTCACGGTGAATTGGTCTGAAATTCCTGGTACAGTGTTGACTGATGAAAATGAATTGGTTGGTAATATTCAAGACTCTTGTTTCATGAATGTGATTGGCTTCCCTTGCAAGTTGTGAAAAAGAGAAGTTGTTTATAATATCCAAGAGCGCAGATGAAATCCTTTCAGTGTAGATAAAGTCTGAAGCAGGGTTTCAGCATGGGATGGACCACTCCATATCTGGAACATACATTTAAATCCCCTCCTATCCACACACACAGTAGGACTCTTAGATTGATCAATTTTACCCACAGATTCACGAAGCTTAAGAAGAGGCTCCTCTCCCTGCGAGAGATAGGAGGCCGGTAAAAAACACAGACACACAATGACTTTCTGTTCACAAGTTGAACGTTGATCCACAACAGCTCGTCATCAACATCCAGCTCTGGCATGTGTATAGCAATCACATCATCCCTAACTGCGATTAAGACGCCACCCTTGGAGCTCTGCCCAGGTCTGTCTTTCCTATAAACTATGCAGTTTGAAGGGAAGCATTAAGAACTGCTAATCTTACTGCTGAGCCATGTCTTGGTTCCAAGTACCCTAATGACGTTCTCACCCAGAATTTTCTTCGTGACATCTTTCTTACCCCACAGGCTTTGAAAGTTAACGATGAGAAGTTTGAAGTTATCCAATTTATCAGTTTTAAACCCTCCTTTGGCAGGTTCCTGTTTGCTCCGGCAGTTCTGACGATAAGCACCTCTTAATTTGGGGTTCCTCAAGGGTGAAGATGCCATACGAGGCTCACCAATGGATGAGAGATTACTACTATTGCACATGCTAGGTTCAGTTTCAAGCATATCAGTAGAAGGATCAACATTAGATGCAGTAATTACCAGGATAGAACATGAATTCCAATGAATAAAGCTATTTGAGGACTAGAGGATTTCTGGACTAATATTTGGCATACCACACTGGTCGCATGTCCATTGTGTGACTGATGTTCTCGGAGAACCCTATAAACCTCACCAGCCATGTTAATACATCCTTCGTGAAACCAGCGGTCACAATAATCACAGGCTAATGCTTCTTGGCCCCACTTGGTAGCTTTTTCACAAGTTCCACAAGGATATTTAGGCCAGTAGGATCTAGGGTTTGGATGGACATCACCCGATTGGGATAATATTGCATATGTTTGTGCAACAATAGCAAGTTTATACAGTCAGTACTGTGAGGTTTCTCAAGGTATACACAATGATTATACTCAAAACATACTTAGGTCTTACAACAAGTAGGTCTACCAATATTGTGCTTGGATGATTTCTTCTCGTGCTTATTGCAGAAGTCGATACCAACATTAGGCACACTTGAGAATTGGTGATGGTTTCCAAATGACCGGGCTGAGCTAGCACTATGACAGGTCATAAGCATATAGGGTTGTGCCTGGGCATACTGGGTCCCCTAGGCCCAATCTTGCAGATATTTATGAAAAGTGGCATTGCCAGAACTGGAACACTTTAAAGAACAGAAAACTACAGGCCCACCTTGGTAGCTTGCAGATACTGGTTCCATCTGAACATGCATTGGACTTAGACACAACAATGCAATGCTGACAACCAACATTGTCATTGAAGGTCCATACACCGTGGTACGAAGATGAGACAATGCAGCCGCCGTCTTTAAAATCACTCGCGGATTCTCAGATTCTTGACTGGACATCGCCGCAAGGCATCATTATCCTGTTACTATCTTCGTGTAGTCTCTTTCACTCAAACAGTAGCCAATGACAACGATAAAAGGTCAAAAACTAAGAAGCATCCATAAATATAACACTTCAGTTAAAAGCCTCCCTAAAAGCACTAAAATAATAAGTGTTGACATCCAATCAGATAACTAGACCAATAAAAAGGTTAAAAAGATCGCGAGAAAAACAAGAGCTGAAAATTGCACGTCCAGCGCCCTCTCCCATTTTCACCCAGAGGGGTCACTTCCAGAAATAGGTCAATATCGGGTATGTCGATATGTCTTACGCCAGATTACAAATGGAAGGTCTGTCACCCAGGCACTCGCAGTGTACTTGTACACTGTAGGCATCTAATTAAAAAAGATGATTTAATGTACTAGGTCCCCAGAGATTTGGGTTTATGACCTTTCCAAACGTTCATTTTAGTTAACCTGGGGAAGAATGTACTGTATTCAGTGTAATGAAGTGCTTTTTTTAATCTTTGTTGCAGATAATATTTGCTGCATGTATCACGAGTGTAGCGAGTAAGTATCTCAAACATTCCACGTGACAGTGCCATGGGCTATTATGTTAAGATTCTGCAAATCGACCAAGCAGTTTTTGCAAAACTAATTTCGTCACTGGACCTTCAGAATCCCTTGGGTCTGGTATCAATGTCAATAGAGATTTTTGCTACATTAAACTGCACTGCCTGTTCTATATTCTTACCCTTGTTCCCGCCACTCTCTGTCTCAGTAACTGGAGCAAATTCAACGTCACCGCCGACGCATCTGCCCCGAACGAACGCCACACCTGCCGACATAGCGCCCTCTGTTGCCGGAGATTCCACGGCTCAACTTTTGTTGACGGAACTCGGAATCACAACGTTTCCTACCGATCCCACGACGACAAGCACGGCGCCAGAAGTTGTTATTCCCGAAAATGCCCAAGCACAAGCTGAAGGCATCACCACCGCATCCAATGGCTCGTTGGATATTTTCCTTTCGTCCACCGAAGCTAACTTGCCGGCAAGCCCACAGGATGGGGGCACAGCAGCGGCGACAATCGTCAAAACGCCGCTCGTTAACTTACCGCCGCGTGGGACGGCAACTGGAATGACCGGCGTCAGGACTGCGATTCCATACCGTAAACTTCTTTTGAGTCCTTCTTTAGTTCGTTAAAAAAGATTTTGGCGAGGTAGAAACAGATGAACCCACTGTTGAACCCTACTTGTCGCCTGTTTTTAACATTTTTGGACTTGATCTAGCGATATGCGGCCTGTTAAGTGCAACTTTTACCGTCGTGATCTTTGTTAACATGGTTCAGAATTTCAGATTCAGATCACGACTCTTGCGCGAATTTATTGTCATTATTGTAGGCATACTCCATCCGTCCTGAGTTGATCATTCCATAAATGGATTTCATTCAAATTCAAATCAACTCTGGATAAAGTACAATAAATTTATGGAAAGTGTAAGATTGTGTTGAACAAGCCTACTTTGGTCCAAGTAAATTTGTCGTCTTTGGTACTTGCAATGTTAACACCTTTATTTTTTTCAATTAAGTAGTTTTTATAATGCCATTATTACAAATGATCAATGGCCAAATGTAAAGTCAACTTTTACCCCCCAAAAATCTAGGTACACCACAAAATTACATTGTAGGCCATTTATTCTATTTTTGAAGGTAGAAATTTGCGACCAGTAACCAGTTCATGCATGATTTTAGCCCCCTATATATAAATTTAAAATGTCTGATTTATTAAAATTTCACTAAAATGTTGGCCTTCATCCCCATTCTGGTGAATATTTACACTCCACAAATTTGATTGACAGTTTTGTACCATGATTAACAGCACTGCCTACGCCAGTTATTGACATGAGGAGCATTGAAGTCACCTCTCATACCATCAGCATGTGTCTTGTTGAACCTGTCGGCCCTGAGGGTTCCATCACTTACTTCCTGGTCACCGAGTCCCTCTTGGACGGCACGCGTACGTGGAACAGCAGCCATGACCTGGTCAACGGGACAACAGTGTGTGTCAGGAAACAGGATCTGACGGCGGGGGTGCTGTACAGCGTAAAGGTGGTTGCACGTGACGACGACTTTGGGCGATCTCAGAGTGCACTGCTCAACATCACGATAGGTATACAGAGGCATAGGCTACCTTAGCTGTGTTTGTCTTTCACAAGACTTGGAAACAACTTGTAGGTAAAAGAAAATGTGGAAGAATTGTTTTCAGACAGTGGTGTATCCCGATTTTGATTCCGGGGGAGGGGGATAAGTTTTCCAAAATTGATCGCCCAAAATTTTTTCAATACACAAAGTATCCCCTCCTTACCCCATCTACCCCTATCCTCATCAGCTCCTAAGAAAGGTGGTACGTGGTACTATTTCTTCAAAGTGTCCATGCTTGAATTCCTAAAATTGAAAAGATGGGTCCATTTCTCCTAATTAGAACCTTGTAGACCACCACTGACATCACTAATGTTAAACTGTTTTAAAACTGCCATGGTCTCGGAGACCCGTCATTGTATGATTTATAGAATTGTCCAGGTTTGAAAAAGGAATGTGGCACCATTTGCCTCAATCAAATATTTAGGGTGCGTTGTGTGTCAGAGAATTTTTGTCACTTTAGAATCCCATGGCTGGCAGGATGGCTACTGTAATTGAAGGTGACACTGTCATGATAGAGTTTGTTTCTCTATAGTGGTAGTCACTTATCTTTTTATTGCCTTATTTTATGATTTCTGTGATGCTAGGCATTTTATCCCCCCAGAAGATTCTCAACATTATCGACTTTGCCTTGGGGGTCATATGTCCCTTGGGATTGAAAAACTTGTTTATATGCTGATAGTAATATTCATGTACACTTGCCCTGTTTCTACAGAACTTCCCCCCATTGAAGTTATTCTGGATCCAGTCCTGGAACTGCTGGGGGGTAGTGCAACAAAGGTGACCATTGATTGGTCTTTCAAGAGTCTGACCCACGTTGAGGAGTTCATCTTTGAGTACAACCAAACCAACAACTATCCTGGTGGGTTCCAGCAGTACGGCCCAAAGAGCCTGAGCGGAACCACCCGTAACATCACCCTGATGGGGCTTTTCCCTGGAGCTACCTATGACCTGCGTTTGCAAGGCTTCAGTGGGCCTCGAACTACTACTGTCATGAGACGGTGGATCCCAGGTAGAGCTGACTAGTTCTATGTCTATGGGAAGAAGTCTCAATCGAGGAAACCGTGGATTTGGGCCGTATATTTCAGTGTTGTGGTCCAGGCCATCACAAAACCAGACGCGAGACCATTCATGGGACCATTCACAAATGACAGGGTGAACTACAACAAAGGAATCTTTTCATTGCAATTCATTTATAGCTTGTGACTTCCAAAGAGAAGGTCTAGTGTTGGTCTTGTAGTGATCATGTGGGGTCTTGTGCTAATCATGGAGGGTATCGACTACAACGGTTGTATTTTAAAGGCATGTCTCAAAGAGAAGGAACCTAGGCTGATGTATTGGGAGGATACAGTTTCTTTTGTCCCCTTTTCACCTGACCTTATCCCTTCCCTTTCTGCCACCTCCTCCAAGTATATCTCCAGGTGGTGAACATTTTCATGACTATTAGTTCCTTGTCTCAAGTCCAAAAGGATTGTATTGGAATTTTTGGCATCCAGTGTTTCAGATACTGACGTTGGGATCTTTGTCAATTAGACTGTAACTTTCTCTTTGATGGCAACTGTTTATTCACCTCGCAGAGACGGAGCCGCCGTCCCATCTCAGGTCTTTGGGCGCCACAGCCACCACCGTGGAGCTGACATGGATCTTCCCACCCCACACCCCTGGGGCCCTGGTCAGACACTTCCAGGTCAGCTACCGTATCATCGAAAGCCCAGAGAGGCACGGGGGCCAGGTCGTCTTCCTGTGGACCAACGACACCAGGATCATCCTGGAGGGTCTAATCCCTGATGTCAAGTATGAGGTGAATGTCAGCACCATCAGCATCAGCGGTCGCCCCAGCTACCCACGGGTTGTTATCCAGGAAACAGGTTAGTATCTCAGAGACTAGGTAGGCGAGGAAAAAAAAACAATACCATTAAAAATCACTGAAGGGTGCAGTAGGAGACTTAAAGGGGAATTAGTTCAAATGCAGAAGACCATGTTGTTCAAAACAAGCTGGGGATGATTGGATTGCTGGGTTTACAGAGTTATCCAAAAAGTGCCTCACGGTTCTTACCTTCAGCTTCATGTGAGCATGTTGCTGTGTTAACTTGAGCATACTTTGGAGTGCATGAACTGCAGGAAAATGACTCACAGGTAGGTGCGAGTATCCACTTTATCAGACCAGGAGTGTAAACTCTTGCATATTTGGTTATTTCAAGATGGTAGAAAACCATTCACTGGATGTTATCGGAAAGCATTGAGCATGCAGTATTTCCCTGCTCCCTGAGTATTGAGAGTAACTCACCTGAATGCAGCTAATGTGTATTTATTCTGTTTGATGCTGTTTTGGGGTCATGTACATTTCCCTCAGAAATCACCAGCTGGGACTTATCCCCAACACCTTGTCCCCTTCATTTTGACAGGAATCGCAGCACCCAAGATCATCATGTCTTCCGCCACAACCACCAGCTTCACGTTGGACTGGGAGCTTCCCCGCGGAAGCTACCACCACAAGGTGGTCTGCTCCAACTGCCCCACCCAGGTCCAGAACCTAGAGCCTGGGGTGACCAGGGTCACCTTTGCAGGGCTGCGGCCGGGCAACATGTACAACGGTTCCCTGGTTGCGCTGAAGGTGCGTCTGGCCAGGAGTGATCTCACTCTCTACAGGAGGTTGACTTGTAAGTCTGACTGCGACTCTTAACCCCTGTAGGCAGTTCAGTAGATGTGTGCAATGGGTGTCACAGGGGCAAGGGGGGTGATTGCCTCCCCCCTGAAACAAGCTGAAAATAAAACTTGAAAAACAAATATAGAAAAAGCAAACCAAAAAAGGAAGCAAGGAGATCAAAATCACCAATCTTCTTGAAAGTACATGTACCAAGGAACTGACTACCTTCCACCCAGGAGTAAATGGGTACCTGCGAGGGCAGACATGGTTGTGTTTAGCTGTTTGTGCCACAATGGCAGCATCGGGCTAGTATATTCCCCAAGGAGCTGAGATGGTTTCATGAATGTTCAGATGATGTGTGAGCCCAATGTGCAGGGATAATGATAATATTAAAGCCCATCGAGACATTCCGTAATATGCGCCTTATAAGAATTGACTAAATTATTATTATAAGTGGTTCATCCATTGATGACCAGTGCTTTGCCCCCCCCAAAAAAACATCTTGCCCTCTTTAAACAAATTTTGGCAAACCCTTGTTTTTGTGTGCTGCATTCGTACAAATTTTTCTCCCGCTGCCTCCTTTCCTCTGTTCCTTACAGTTGTCTGGAGAGGTGACTGCTCCAGCATTAAAGCATAAGATTGAGCTGATTATGAGAAATGGAAATGAGGTTGTAACTAAATAGGTTGTAACATCAACGTTGATTGGGTCATTTGGCTGATTAGAATCCAGCAAGGTACTGTCCAAAACTGCTTTTTCTATTGAAATTATATTTCTTTCTATTTTTTTGTTCATGCTAAACTCAGATCCGGAGGGGCCCTCATTAGTCCAGGTCCGCATGCTGGACAGGCATGGGGAACGGTTGGAGGTCTCCTGGCCGGCTGAGATCTGCAGCGGATGCCAGGTGGACTCCTACACCACCTCCCTGATGATAACTAAGAGCTCCAGGCGATTGTACTGGAAGCACTCGGACTGCGTGGTGGGAATCTGCAGCGTGGTTTATGACTCGCTGGAGCCTGGGCAGGAGTACCACGCTGAGGTCAGCGCTGTCAGGATGAATCTGTTTAGCAACCCTCCCACTCTATCCGGGAATATCAGGATACGTGAGTCCATTTGACGTTTTCCTCTCGCCTTCCCTCCATCGTGCATTATGCTTTTATACGCCTGTGATCAAATACTAATCAAAACCATAAATTTCACTCATATACAGGATGTAACTTTGGCGTAAAAGCTCGCTTGAGTGAATCATCTGCAGTACTATTAACCCTCTATTTGCGACAGATTACTGGTTTGTCCGTAACTTTCAGTAGAAGCCACAGACTGTATCCAAATTTTCATCGCCAGACTTTATTCCTGTGAGAGGGTAATAGTTTATACTTCCATACAGAATTTACAGCCAGTTTCGTTACACCACGTGCAACCTGTCTGGACTTAGGGAAGGAGACTAAAGTAACGATCTTTGATGAATATGGGAGACCTCATCCCTCATTGTATTTCATTGACCGCCTGCAGCACCAGCAACTCCAGGACCCATCACCTTCTCCAGTGTCACCCACGACCAGATCAGCATTGCCTGGGCACCCTCCTTTGGGGTGGTGGACAAGTACATCATTGCGCTGTGCCAGGCCAGTCCGCCTCCCACCGCAGACTGCAACACCTACAGGATCGAAGTCAACTCGTCAATCACGGAATTCACATGCCTCGAGCTGAAACCGAACACATCATACAACATCACGTTGAGCTCCAAGTCCGGAGGACTGACCAGTACCCTCCGATGGGTCGTCAAGGCAACCACTTCACACTGTGAGTGGTCTTTTCCGTCTGTCAAGAGTTTGCCTATACAAGGAGAAATTTGACATTTGACATTTTAATCCTCTCTGCATTATTTGTGCATCCTTGGACAGGAACCAAGTGGCATTTGCATTTATTGCACCTGAACTTTCAAGGGGTTCTCCGATCCCAGTGTAATGTAATCATACCTCGGTTCTGTCTTCCTGAACACTGCAAAATCCCCCAAACCACCACCAGCTTTAAAGGATATGAGACAATGAGAGTTTATGTGATGATACAGTCACAATCTTAATTTCTGTTGGATCCAAATTTCTGACAGTTCACAACCTGGATCTCTTGCCTCACTGAACTTCCCTCCTCCCTATCCTTTACAGTTCCAGCGGTAGACAGCCGGCCGCCAAAGGCCCCCGGCACCAGTGAGGTCACCCCGTACACGTTTCCTGTGACCTTTGACACCAGCTACTTTGACAATTCCAACCGGGCTATTGTGTATTACACAGTCCTGGTGGCTGAAGCTAGCGGTGAGTCACCAATCAGTCACTTCCTTCGGTGCGAGGTTCCTGTCAGAACTTATATCCCCAAACAAGGCTGGGGGGAGGGGACATTGAAACAAAGATCATGCCTTTCATCTCCAGAATGTTCGGTGTTCCTGGCAAGCATAAAACCACAATTGCCTTGGGATGAATTTGGAAGGGAAATAATGTTAGCAAAAAACAGCATGTACGAAAATGTTAATAGTTCATTTTGTTGAAATGGGCTAGAAAGTATAGCTCCTATCCCCCTAACATCCTGCCCCCGGAATCTCATTGAAGTGTTTCTTAAATGGTCAGAAATGAAAATTTTTGCTAATGAAAAATTTTCCAATGCTTGCAAAAGATGTTCTTGCAAAAGATTTTCAAGTCGTTCTAAGAATCTTATCCTGAAAAGTGTCTAACCATCAACCTCCTTTCCCTTGTTTCCTGTCCTTGAAATTTTGGCGAGATATAGATACATGTACTGCTGTCTTCCTTGAAGTCATATTGAATGGTGTGAGACACACACACTGAGGTATTCTCTGTACATATTCTCACTTGTTTATACTCCATGCAAAAAGCTGTGAGCCATGCTAGTCTACCCACACATGGCAACTTATCGGAGGGGCTACGGACTCGCACGTGGGCTAAGGCTATCGGCAAGGAGACCATACAACGCTACCAGATTGCTGAGAGATATCCCTATGAGGACCTCATATCAGGTTTGGAAAAAAATTTACCTTTGACGTTCAACTCTACTTCCTTCATACACAAAAGTACTCGTGAAAAGTGAACAAATACTTGTTAGATGATCGCTAGTGAACAGCAAAACAGCAAAATTGTGTTTTCATCATGCAGCCATCTTGAAAGTGAAACCTGACATTATTTTCTAATCTTCCTCTGGCTTAATTAATAGGTTTATTTTCAGAACAGGGCAGCATATACTCTGGGGTCATTCTATAAATTAGGGGTCCGCTTGATTTTGTATGTTCAGAACACATTCCCTAACTTCCAAGAGGGATGAATTAATGCAAATTACCTGCAAAACAAGTAAAAATAGTTTGAAATCAATGTCAGTGATATTTCAGCGTCAAATTACACAGGTCAGGTGTAACAGGGACACAAAAAGTCACACTTTTGGATTTCGTGAATTGATAGAATGACCCTCTTCCCCTTAATGCCAAACCTAACCTGTCGGAAGGTGGTTTATTTCACTGGGGTTAATCATCCTTACTCATTTCCACAATACTGTATTGTAAAGGATGGGGCTGAAACTTGTTCAAGCTAATTAAGGTGCCTTGGGCAGCTGCCAAGTGACCCATATCTGACCACAGAGCGGTGCCAAGGTTCGAAAGCATTGACTTTGCAGGTGGAGGGAAGCAGAATAGCCCTGAGAAACTATTAACATGCAACGCTACTCACGTATGACCCGAGCAGGGAATCGAACTGGGTCAAAGTGGTGAGAGGCAAACACTTCACTGGCCAGCCTCCAATGCCGCCCTCAGATCTAGACTTCAAGGCCGCCTTCTCCAATGATTATTTCACCTCGCACATACAGAGTCTGGCAAGAGGGAAGCCTACGCCAAGAAGACTGTCATCGTCGGTGAGGAGGATTGCTCGGAAGAGGAGAAAGACGTCTACTGCAATGGACCACTGAAGCATAATAAGATCTATGTGTGAGTCCCAGGTCTACCCAAATTGGCTGCTGCAGTGCCTGCTGCCGCGTACTGCTTAACCTGGTCACCAGAATTGAAAGCTATTAGATCAGTAGCGTCATGTTTGCACACAGGTTGTATATTTGCGCCAACTGTGTTTCTGAGGGTGTCGTGGTTCTGGCATTGAAACGCATTCATTTTTGTGATTGTTAAAAAGCTACCCAGTGATGATATTGTAGCTCATCAACAGATCTTATTCACTGGCAAGCCATTTTTAAAATCTTGTTTCTTGAATCTATCATATTTGATGTAAACTGTTTAATGGAGTGGTACCAGACTAGTTTGGGTTCGAAACCTCACATTTGTTTTTGTTCAAGTTTTAAATGTGGCTCAAAACATTTAGACATAGTTTATCATAAAGATTAAATTATTCTAAACAGAACCTGCCATGAATTTGTGTTGACCTTTTATTTCACTGATATTTTTACTCCCAGGTTCCCCAAATGAAAATTTTGCCTCACTTTCAACTCAAGATGGCCGACACATGATTACAGTCTACTGCACATCATTTTAGGGCATAAGGCAATTTCTTTATTGATGTTCCAGGCTGCCAGATTTATTTCAATCCCAATTATTTCTTGGAAACAGTTTTTCAATTGTTGTCCTTTACATGCACCTTTCTCGGCTTTTGCCTAGAGAGACACAGGGGCAACTTTTAGGATGTTTGGGTTTCGCTCTCAGATTTATCACGTTGCTCTGTTTATGGAAAGGTATTTTTTCCCCAAAGCTAGCACTATCAAATGGGACCAGCGACCAAAACTGAGCATATATCCCTTTGTTATTAATGTTTTGCAGCTACCAATTTCGTGCTTTCACATCGACCGGCTATTCTGACACACCATTCTCACGGCATGTGATTCTACGTGAGTACAGTGATTTGTGTTTCCTTCCGCAAACCTATGTCTGTTGATACCGCACTCTCCCGTGACTTGTGTTGTAATTACTGAGGAAATTTCAACAGATAGGTATGGAAATGGTTTAATGTGATATCTTTTCCTGTGACTCATCTTTGCACGAGTATGGTTTTCATTGTCGTCCTGGTCCCCCAAGTTTCAAACAAGTTGTCAGTTTTATCACGGTATGGCTGGTCCAATTTAAATGGGGAAAGGATAGCAGTAACATTGGTCAATGCCATAGAAAACCCTCCTGAACTTTGGCTTTGGGGTGGGGGGGGTAGGGTCAGGCCTTGAATGCTGGGAGGGGGTGTTGATGTCTGATAACAGATGACACATTCATGGGGCTTTTTTTATCGACGTGCGCATACACGTATTTACCAACATGAACAAAGATGATGTCACACTCTGTTCCCTTCCCTCTCTGTCCCTATTCCTTCCCCGTCCCCCAAGGATGCCCTAAGGTTTCATGATAGAGATGTAAACCTTAAGAATACAATCTGAAATCAGCCAGATTAACCATATCCTCTGTTCAATTGTCCAGTGCTGCTCAGTAATTCATCTCCGCTAGCCTCTTTGCCTAATGCTAGTGATTAACTAAATATCCTGTGATTCCTGCCATTCTATGCTTTGAAGACCGACCTCTGGTTTGTACTTGCAGCCGAGGATAATTCTGGTGTCGTGGCCGGCATCAGTGTTGTCTTGATCATTCTGTTTATCATCGTACTGGTTCTGATTGGCATGATCATGAGCCGCAAATTCAGGTATGCACCCAGTGGTCAGTGTTGTAGTTGAACCATCACAAGTCCTGTCACAAGTTCGTTCGCAAGAGCTGTCGCATAATGATGATAGTTGTATTACAGTTCGTCATAAATTGTGTGTGTGATTTGGTTTAAGTCTAAATGACTCAGGGTGGACTTGTGATGGACTTGCAATTTGCAGGGACTTGGGATGGGCTCGACTACAATCTTGCCAGTAGTCACTTTGCTTTACAAAATGGGAAGCAGGTAACACCCTATATTTGTAAATTTGGTCTCATTTCCTGCTGTTTAAACTGCCCCAGAAGTGCGCCCGACACACTTCTGAAAAAAATGGCCTTTTCTCATTACTTTAAATGACATTTAGCCTGACATTTTCTGTTATTCTACTTGTTACATCTGGTCCTCAACAATGTTAGTTTGCTAGCCCTGAGCAGGGATTGCTTTGTTGGTCTCTTCGTGTCTTTCCAAGAGAAAGTGTCTTTTATTGTAATTTTGTAATTGGATATTATCCAATTCATTTTGAAATTAGCCAACATGTTTACAAATTGGGTGGGAACCATTTCGAAATCCAGTTGGGATTATAGATTAGTCCCGGTAATGTTCAGCATGAGTTAGATGATACAGCAAGGTGTATAATGTTGATTCTGTGGGTGCACTTACAGACTTTTTCAACGGTTGTTGTCTGGATATTGTTCTGAAGGCTGGTTCATACCTGACACATAAGCATTTCCAAGTGTACAACTGTGATTTTGAAGTCACGCATTCTTGCAGCAAAGTTTGCTGAAGTCCAAATGGTTATATTTGTCAGTTTCTGGCACAAATTTTGACAACACGACAAAATTGTGTTCACATTACATTTGCATTTCACCATTTTGCGGTGAGCCTGAGCTGGCTGAAAGGTTTAAAATAACTCCAAAGCATTTCTCCATTTCTCCTCTCCACCCAGGGGCAACTACGGCAAGTACATGGCAGCGCGGTCCTTGGAGCCCCTGCCGGTCAGCGTCATGGCCCGCCCCTCCACCAACCGACGTTTCTCCCGGCCAGTCCTCCTAACCGACTTCTGCCACGACTTTCAGGTCATGAATGCCCACTGCCACTACGGCTTCTCCAAGGAGTACGAGGCGGTCATGAAGGTGGGCCGTAAGCTGACCACCAACGCAGCCGTGCTGGCTGCCAATGTCAGCAAAAATCGCTACACCAACATCCTGCCCTGTGAGTCATGTTTGTACTGGTTATTAACATTTGTGACTGGATCACACAAGAAGGAATTGTAAGACCATTTTTTATTGAGTTTGTATTTTTTTTGATACATCTGTCCATTACGTGTCCTGATGTAAATAGACGTGGGTTGAAATGGTGAGGGCTTGTATTGATTTACGTAGATTCTGTCAATTCTGTCAAAGACGTCTAAATTGAATCCAGTGACCCATCTTGTCTGGTACTTTTGATCAGTCTAAACTCTGTTCACCTGTTTCCTTGTGGTGGGGTCAGATCTGAAATTGAGTACTTTTTGTGTTTATAGTACCATCATCAGCTATGCGGTGAGTTTTTTTTTTTAAAGAAACAGACAAGCTTTACTTGGATTATCCAGCTGTGATTTACAAACTGAAGGTTGAATTCAAAAAAATTATAAACAAAAGTTCCCAGTTAAATCAGTGTGATTGAATATACTCAGGGGGGGGGGATGCCCCAAAGTCCACCTTTTGCACAGTCTCCAGAGTTCATTCAAAGCTGCATCATAGTTTGATGGGTGTCTCTTCGCTTACACGTTATACAGTTGATCGTACCAGAGTTATGCTGAGTCCTGTTGATGATGTCGAAGGTTCAGACTACATTAATGCCAACTACATTGCGGTGAGTTTCAATCAAATTTGACGACTGTGGTAATGAATGTGAATATTTTCTTATTACCTTGCATATTCATTTGAACAACTGAGCAGAAAATGCCCCCTCTTGTGACTAGTTCCCTTGACAAACTTGCAAATGTTCACGACTTCTCCAGGGCTATGAATCCCCAAGAGAGTACATCGCCTGTCAGGGTCCACTGCCTGGGACAGTGGATGATATGTGGAGAATGATATGGGAACATGACGTTGCAACGATTATCATGCTAACACAGCTCATAGAAAAAGCAACAGTGAGTATATGCCTCTATTGTCTGGAAGACTTTGTAATTACCTAGGAGTTTTAAAAATTTCTATTTTGTAAACAAGACTATTGTATACATTGACCCTGTAGAATTCTCAGTAATGCTGAAATGATTGAAATGTCAGGTTCTCTGACTTAATTTTGGTATACACGTAGTTCTTGTCGATCCATTACAAGGGGTCTGCTGCAGGTTAATTTCAAATCCTTTAATTTTTCTCTGTTCCCACCCATGTGTACATTTCTGGATGAGGAAAAATGGTGAACACTCGACACATAGGCCTACTGCTTCATCAGGGGCATGCTCCATGGCAAAATATGTACACCAGTATTGGCATACCCTGGATACCTTCACTGTCACTGGTATGCACGCCTACGCAAAGTGTAGCACAGTTGAACGTGCCCCAGGTGACAGCTAGAACTCTTGCGATAGTATTGTTCAAGTTAACTGTGCACACCATGGCCCAAATTTTGATGTCATCCCAATGCACAGCAGTGACGAGTTCACAGCTCTCACTTCAGAAAATGTGACCATTGAATACGGGCGTTTCACAATAGTGCGCCTCCAAGAGTTTGCAGCGCATTGGCCAATCACAATGCGCGAAATTGGTTGACCCAATGCGCGTTTGGAAAGGGTCGACATATTTCGCGAGTTGTGATTGGCCAGCGCACACTACTGTGAAATGCCAGTATTGTATCCCTCCACTTTGGTTCCTCTACTGATGAGTACTGTAAGCAGTGGTGTTGATGACGGATGTTTTATTTCACTGCACAAATCTCTTCATTTTCAGGTAAAATGCGACCAGTACTGGGAAGAGGACAGTGCACCTTACCTGCACGGCGATATCCAAGTCACTTTGTCAGCTACCACGGAGCAGGAACATTGGACGACACGAGACTTCACTCTTGAAAGGGTCAGTGAAACTACACGTCAAGTCAAGGCTCACCTCCACAGCACTTTGTACACAATGTAATGCTTATGGAACAACTGAATTTTGGTTGGGGGGGGCTCATTTCATAAAGAGAAATAATTAGTAATTTTCTTTTGGCAAGAATAAGAATGGCAATTTTCGGGTACAGATTTTCATTCGGGTGCAAAGCATAAGTTATTGACCATGACCTACAGCGTTGGACGCCTTGGCCTCAGCCACAAAGGAGGAAGAGATTTTTGGCGTGTTTTTGAGTGATGTCATGCATGTATCCCCATCAAAATCTGAAAAACATACATGTATTCAAGAGCCTTGTGCAAGTTACTCACGACTGAGGCTCCTTTCGTGCTGGGAAGGGAGTTGCGACTGCAGTTGTCGGGGTTGATCAAATGCACCTGAAACCAAGAACAGTCTCCCAGAGCTGCGCACTGTCAAACAGTGTGAGTTGATTTCAGCTGTTGTGCAGAAATTGTAGCCACACAGAAATATCACACTCAACTTCCTACCGCCCTTTGCCTTCACAGAATGATGCCACTAAGAAGGTCCGGCAGTTCCATTACATGGCCTGGCCAGACCATGGGGTACCAGACTGCAGCACGGCACTGCTGACTTTCATTCGGACAGTGCGTGCGCAGATTCCCAAGAACGGGACGCCAACTGTCGTTCACTGCAGGTAAGTGCATTATTTTGCAACAAAACGAGGAAACAAGCAATGAGCCAATGCAGGAAATGATAGTCTGGTTCCCTTACCCGACAAAATCCCCTGACATAATCCCCTGACATGTAGAAATTGTAGGTCTGGTAGCCACCATTGACCAATATAGATATGACGCAATGTATGATATATGATGTAATGTTTGGGATGCAAGGTGCGTTTGTCCGTTAATTTTAAAAGTAACCATTGTCAAACGCTGAAGTCGCCGTACATACTCAAAAACAAAGTGTGAAAAATTGACAAACGGCCTAATGGGGATAATGTAGAAAGCATGACGCACGACAATCCCAAAATTATTTGGTTATTATCTGGTAGCAAGAGTTAAGGCTAATGCTCTGGTCTTCTTGTAATTTTTCTTGTGAGCTTCTGTAAGCAGATAGGACTGTCCAGGGCCACCTCTGTGGCCCGGGTTTGATTCTTCTGGGGTTTCCTTCCCACCTCGCAAACTGTAACTGCTTCTCAATCATCTCCTCTACAGGTTTCATTAGGCTTGTAAGCTAGAGTGCGTAGGGCGCTCAGTTGAGGAATACTTGGTGTCATTACCAGAAATTAATAATAATAATAGTAATTGTCTTGCAGTGCCGGGGTTGGACGCACAGGGACCTTCATCAGTTTGGATCGGCTGATGAGACACATGGAGGAATTCAACTTTGTTGACATCCTGAGTGTGACCTGTGACCTGAGAATGCATCGAAGCTACATGGTCCAGACGGAGGTAATGACAAAGAGTAAAGGCATTGGATTCTCAAGAAAGCCTGAAATAATCAAGAATAACATTTGAACATTTAGTTTGGTTACAGACCCCAGACTCAATTTTTACAGGGTATGGTTGTGTGCGTGCTATTAATTGCTTGCTGCCGTAATAGTTACAAAAATACGAAAAGATGTTTAATCTTTTGCAGAAAAAGTTGGAAAATGACTGCTTCAGCTGTTGGAATTGAAAATAATCCTTTCTGTGTATAGCGAATTGATGAAATGTACACTGTACAGTAATTTTTGAGATTGTTTGAATTGTATTTTTCAAAGCAAATTTTGTGGTCTGATTGTGATTCAGTTTTAAATTTCTTGTTCTGTTGACAGCAACAATATGTCTTCATTCACAAATGTGTCTTGGACATACTGGAAGAGAAGGGCATCGCCCCCAAGCGCCTGCCTAGTATCTCCTCCATCGACACCTACGACATGGCTTCCACTCGCCAAGGCAGTGATGCTTCAGCCATCATCAAATGTGTCTACGAGACCGAGGATGATGCGACCAGTGCCAGGGAACGCCGGGATGTGGTGGTGTACCGGCGCACATCCCCGGACCGCAGTGAGGACGAGGACTTCCACAAGAGGTTCTCCTCGTACAGCGTTGGCTCGGCCAAGAGGTCGCTGATTGAGGACAGCTGCGACTCGCGCCGCCCGTCCTCGCCCAAAAAAGCCAACAGCAACGGCTCAGCCAAGGGCTGTCCACACCCTTGAAGGAGGAATTCGTCTGATTCCTGATACAGCTGACTAAGCCGAGACTCCAAAGTTTTTCTTCCGAAGTCTCTGTTAAAGCTTTCTCTGCTTTTCAAGTTGAAAAGCATTTTTGGTACCGACATACCCTGAAAACTCAGCAATTTCCACGAGAAGCAACTCAAAACAAGACCACTTATCTTGGGCAAAGAAGTATTTGTTGTACTTTTCAGACAGATGCTAATCCAAGCGATTTGAAGGTCTTGCCCATTTCTTAATACCTGTTGAGTTCTAGGGCTTTTGAAGCAGAGAACAGAGGCATCTGACTAGCAGAATTCAAATCCTGTTCCAAGAACAAAATTAACTCCTTCAACTGAAAGTGTCAATTTAATCATGTTTATCAGTTTAAATTACGTGTCAAAAATGTATTCGTAACAGCCCTGTGGTGTCCTGACCAATCACTGCTGTGGTGTATGTCTGACGTGCATGCGGGGGGGTGGGCTTACCTAATACCCACCTTAATATTTAATGGTGCTTCACATACTAAGTAAAAGCATTCTACTTCTAGGCTTACAATTACCTTGATTTTGTCAGGAAAAAGTTACAATTGGGCCTCTACAAAGCCAATTAGCATAGAATGCAGTAAACAACCTCCAGTTTTTTCTGCAAGTAGAAGACTGGAAATGAAATTCTGTGGGGGGGGGGGGTTTATGCCGATCAAAAGTGGATTCTGAATACCTTCAAATGCAAAATGAAGAGCTTCTAAAATATTTCAGGGTTTGAGAAAAAATGGGTAGATGTGATTGGTTGACTCTCCTGATAGATCAGGATGACTTTCACCTGTGAAGTCTTTCATTATTTGTCTTTCTTTTTAAATGTCAAATGCATGAGTACCATGATTTTAATTGATTTTAGGAATATCTTCTCAATCTGTGGAACTAGTATCCACGTGAGGGAAAGGTTTATTTTTGACTTTACATAGCAGTGGGCATTTATCCCACTGTATGGCCCAAGTTTCCAGTGCCTGGTAGGTAAACCATAAATTTGGTGTTTTTATTTTATCAACTTTGACAAGATATTAGGCATTCCTTCTTGTCCATTGGCACTTAAAATACAGATTGGCTAAATGCTGAAAATTGAAACAAACTATACAGGGAAACTGACTTGGTGCTTAAATACAATTATAAAGATGAACAAAGAAATTGGCTGGAGCGGGATTTGAACCTGCGACTTCCGGAACACTGTACCGGAGCTCTACCATCTGAGCTGTCCAGCCCTACATTGGCAGCACTTCCCATTTGATAATGAAGATAATTGACAAATGGGAAGAGCCACCAACATAGGGCTGGATAGCTCAGTTGGTAGAGCCCTGGGTACGGTGTGCCGGAGGTTGAAAATTTAATTCCCGCTCCAGTCAATTTCATTGTTCATCTTTATAATTATGCGTATAAAATAATTGACGTTACATTTCATTACGTGAAAAATCTTCCCATCTGCAGCTGTTTCAGATCACTTCATCCTGCTCAGCGCTCTGCTTAACTGTTTTAACTGTACACGTGTAAACAAGCTGTTGTATAAAAACTTTCAAAGGTCTATTTTAACGCAGTGAATATATTTTATATCCAGAAATATTGTAAATGAGATGAAGAAAATGCATTTATCAGTGGTCATCCGCACTAGTTATCTCTCGGTACGGGATAGCGTTTGATCCGTTTCCTTCATCACTAATGACCCAACATCCCCTTTAATCCTTTGCATGCCGCCAGTCTGTGCACCGATCAAAGCCTTTGTGCAAATAGCATGCAAAGGGTTAAGGTCCCCGCCTCAATTTTGTTTCACCTTTTGGCTTACTGAAATACTGAGCATGTTGCCTTGCCCTTATCAAATTTAGTGTGAGTTAGAGTGTCGGACCGAACACGATGCTTGACATCAATGGGACACAAACCTGCAAAGCCCTGGAATATTGCGTAGGTATCTTACTGACAGGTTACTTGGCCTTTTGCTGCCAGTGTTTTCCAGTTTTCTTCAGCACTGTAAAATCAGACTTGAAGTCATTGGTAAGAGCATAATACACTGCATTTGTTGTTAATGTAAAAGCACTGTGTGAAGTGTTATAGGTGTCAGGCTTTTTGAAGGAATGTCAGCTTAGATGACCACTGGTAAATGCAAAGAAATAAATAGGGGTATAAAAGTAACAATGCCATGTGAAAAAAATTAAATGTTTATTTTCAAAACTGTAAATGTATACGCTGCTTACAGCATGAAGAAGAGAACACAATGGCAATATTTCTTGTACAAACATAATTTGTTAACCATTCACATAATTTACTGTACTGTATTGGAAACTTGTTGGTAGCATATGTACAATACTTCATTTGCTCTGCAATGCTTCGTAAATCGTTTGTATCATGCGTTTGTGTATTGATTAATATGTGGGATGGGACCACAGTTGATGTCGGGAGTAAATATGTAATATTGAAATGCATGCGAACTTGAAAGTTAACTCTAAAAAGGAGCCCTTTTGTGAACTACACGGAAGGCCTGTGGTTGTTTCTGTGAATGCCCAAGCTTGCCAAAATAAACAGAAGTCTTTCTGAAGCATGGAAATGTATCTGAATGTTTGTCCTTAAAATGTTTAAATGATTCAAAACATCCTTCAAACATGGAACTTCAAGGAAATTAAGACTTTCTCCAAGTAATCAATTTCAGTTCATATTTAAAGTAAAATAAGATCTTTTACCAAAGAATTCCCACAAGAATAAGACTTGAACTCAGTATGACATTTTCAGGGTTGATAGTTTACAATCATTTAAAATAAAATTTGCCAAGTTGAGTAAAAAAATGTAGTCCCACTTTTGTCTTTCCTATGAATATATCAGATATCAAATAACACTTGTGCACTAATATAGGACAACTCTTTAAGACATCCGCTATACATGTGGATCAAGCTTACAAAGCACCGGACCAAGTTGTGACTGAATGCGCACAAAAGCGTAGATGACAGAGTGCCAACACTTTGCAAATGTTTCTGAGTGATATGCCTGAGTGCCCTCACCTTCCAGTAATTTTCACATTTTCACCACTAGAGGGGGTTGTACTCAGAGCCAGTGTTACAGCAGGGTTATTGACCCAACAATGGGTCACGCACCATGTTGCCAATCCAGAAGTTCACTGTCTAGTCTTCATATTGCAGGTCTGAGTCTCTCAGCTTGGGTTCACTTCCAACGAATATTACATCATCTAGGGATGAGATAGACAAGATGTACGGTAGAGATATCAGTGAACAAATACAACGCTGAGTCAGAGCATGCAACAACTTTCATGGGAGTGTTCACTCGTGACAAAACGTCTGTCAGTTTTTGCTTAGGCTCACTGTAACCGTTTTGAGGTAATATTCTGTCGTTAATGAGCACCATGTTTCTGTCCTTTCTTACATGTAGGGTTTAGTGTTTTGTGGACACCTACAAAGCTACATGCATTTTGAACACTGTTGCACACAAGTGCAGTGTATGTAAAAGCATACAATTTCAGATACAGTAAGTACCCTGTTAGGAATGTATTTGGAAACAGAGAAAAAGTTGCCAAAATCCATCTCTGGAAAACCTTGTTAGTTACTGGAATCTCACGCAGAGATTGGTCTATGGGTCTGATGCTTTGTGAGCTGGAAAAGATTGCCCCACACAGGTCAGTTCACAAAATCAAGCAGCTATAAAGTAATTGCCCCCACTATGTGGCGTAACCTACATGGCGTCCTCCCATAGCAAAGTGCCTCTTAAGTGTTATCAAAATTAAGCTGATTGGTTTTTTGCTGTTGTATGCAGCACATCAATAATCTGCATACTTGACTGTCAGCTTTATTTGTGTTAATGACACTCAGACACACTTTGCTATTGGAAGATGCCATGATCGTTGATGCATATAGGTCACGACTCATTGGGGCAATCAGCCTATTATGAACACTTCCTTTTAGGCATATCAGTTTCTCAATCGTGGCTCTGCAACACAGCAAAAAACCCAATTTTTTATGGCCATGTTATTTTCCAAAATCAAACAGGCATTTTTTGCAAGACCATGATGGAATCATTAGGTACACTGCAAACTATCACGTCTTTGTATTGGCCATACAATCAAAGTTAACCCTAACCCTCCTTCACCTGTTGGAGGATTGAGGAGGGTTAGGGTTAATGTACAAAGAATTTTCCATTATCCTGTTGCACATCTGCAAAGCAAGCTTGTGTACAGGACAGGGTATAACAAAAAGTCCCCTCCCTGAAACAGAAATTTGGGGGAACTTGCAGCGTCGAACTACATTGTCATTGATATGCTGATATGCCAGTATCAAAGACTGATGGAAATGACTGATGATGAAACTTTTAAATATAACTAAACAAAAGCCACTTACAAATTGTTTAAATCTGCCTGATGAGAGGGTGAAATTGGAGGCTAAGAAAAAAGTCACGAAACATCCAGCTGACAGATTTGTGAGAATGACATTAAAACAGCACGACTTTCAGGGCTTCTAGTAGCTAAAGTACAAACTCTATCACATACGACTACGATATTGTGAATCAAGCATTTGATTTGTTGTCTGAAGGCCTCAAATATACAAAACATGGATGAAAGAGTTTCTAATTTTTGGAATAAAATATCCTGAAGTCCAAAACTCCCAGGAAATCTTTGCTGATGTGTTTGGCAATCAAACGTTTCATACCTGCAATAATATTTGTCGCAGTAACCCTCTGATCGCTGTCATTGAAATACTCACTGTAACTGATCCTCCCTGTCACCAAAACTCTGGATCTAACAAGAACAGAACGAAAACACCTCTAATAGATTGACTTTTTTGTTTTGTTGACCATGCCATACAAGAGCCAAGACATGTACATGTACACCAAGTCAAGAGAGAAACTACATGAGGGAAAGGGAGGAGGTCATGCATATGTCACAACTGGGGCCCCAAAGATGCGACAACTTGGACACAAGATGGTTTTAGCAGATAATGCAACAGTGCCTGAAGGACTGCATCCACCACTGTGGGAGGTATCCACTTGTCTCCCTCTTTGGGGCATCTGTATCCCCCATCCAAATTCCCTGTATCCACAGTTCTGGTCATACCAATCTCAGCGTTTACAGACGCTGACAGACACAAAACTCAGTGCACTGCCACATACCTCATTCAAAATACCCTGTTTCAAACTTCTCCAAGATTGACGATGCTGAGAGCAATTTTGAAATTAAGCGGGGTAAGCAGTTTGCCGGATGATGCTCACCCCTTTTTGCAGTATGTGAAGACAGCATCCCGCAGCCCTGGTTTGAACACATTAATCCTGTGCCAGCTGGTCCTCTGTTTTAGTTCTAGAGCGGAGATAAGAAGTAACAAAATGATCCGAGTCTCATTTGACCAGCAAAATGCTCTTGGTTTCAATGTTGAGGGAGCAATATACAGTGCAGTACTGTAGGCTGTGGCTTTCATATTTAAAAGTGAAACTTCTTGCAGTGGTGAGATTGGAGGAAAAAGAAATATCCACAAAAAAAATTACAAAAAGGTTTATGCAGGACCAAGAAAAGTGTAGGGTCAGTGGTTCACATTTGTATTTGCCTGAGCATACCCCTAAAAATGGCAAATTTCTTGTCCTCTATATCAACTCAGATAGACAAAATACCTTGATGGCAAGTCAGGATTTTCCAGATTTTAAAAGAAACCGTTTGAAAATTCCTGCAATCGGGACAAATCCTGAGAAATCTCACTAGCTTATCCTTGGCTCAGGATGAATCTCAACATAGACATGCAGTGTATGCCCAATTTCATGGCACTGCTTACCATAGTTGACAAATCTCTGCTTACTACAGCAAAAACTTCTGCACTGGCAGTAAGCGTATTCATCAGTTTAGCAATGAATGTACAATGTGCATCCTGTAGCTACCGGTACATGTAAGAATTCTGTGTTATGTGCAGAAATTCTGTGATAGCATTGTAAACACAGAACAGACACTTAATTCCTTGGTTACAGATGGAGCCACAAAATGCAGAATCAACCTATGGAAACTCTACCCAGGATGTAGTAACAAAGATACAGTGTATGAGGCCGATGAGGCTTCATATACATGTACAGAAGTACAGTACAGCCTGCATCTTACCGTCTTCTTCACTCTCTCGCTTAATCCTGAATGTCTCACTGGTCGCTAGGGGAAACAGTGTCACCGGATTGCTTCCAACACCTCTCATCTCTGCATCCCGTCCAACCCTACCAAGGAGTGTCACTTTATTCACACCTGCGATAAAAACGCACCCCAGTAATTTGCTCCTGAAGGTCTGTCAAAAGTTGCAAAATGGCAGTCGCCATCAAGTTTTTTTAATTGGGACTTGATAATTTTTATTTATTGAATGGAATTGCAAACCTCTGAAAGAGATGCATACTGTAAGTACAGAGGCAATCATTCAGCAAATGAGTAGAAACAAAATGCATTTGCCTTTCTACATGCTTTCTTAATTTTTGTCCTTAAAGTTTACTGCTCAAAAAAGCATGTGAGTTTTGAACTTTTTCCTTTTCAGATCTGTGGTTTGGAGGAGTTTTTTATTTAAAATGTTATTTAAATGCCTACAGTACACTGCCTGGAATTACTGTCACTGGTGTATGAGACCTGATTGTGTTCCAGGGAAAGTAGATCTGGGCCATTTTCTAATACTCAACTTCGTCTCCGTCTCAGGCTTCGTTCTGAAAACCAATCCCTGATTGTGGGCCTGAAGCGTTTAAATTACATTGAATTACTGTAATTTTTGGTTCTCTTGCATCTTATTTGATGTTTTGTGACACTATTAGACTGATTACTGCGCTTACAGCTTCAAAGTCGGGTAGTCAAAAAACAGTTGAAGCCTGAGACGGAGCCGAAGTTGAGTATTGGAAAACGGCCCTAGACTTCCAAGGGATAGAGAAGGAGTTGGTTCATAACCTGGAGCCAATTTCATAGAACTTAAGCGCAAAAATCTTGCTTAAAAAAACAAAGGCTGCTCAAAATCTATATGATCGGATTATCATGCTAACCAAAAGACAGGTGAATACCATTCCATATACACGTGGAGTTTTGGCTGGTAACCTGATTTGTCCAGCAAGGCTTTTTTACGCTTAAGCACATTTTGTGCTTAAGAAGCTCTATGAAATTGGCCCCTGGCCTACCCACGGCTAAAATTCTGCTGAGCACACGACATTTACTGTTACTACATTCTGGCTTGACGAGTTGTGTGTGTGATCGAAAGGATCTTCGTAATGACATGGACTTACTGCGTTCAACAACAGGTGTTTCTATCGACTTCACCGTTGTACTGTATCCCCTCCCAAGATACCTGACAAACTAAAGCAAAAGCAAATTCATCTTCAATGAGCAGTTCACCAGAAAAGAGCATCTTTCTAACTGGCTCAACCACAAAAAACAAAACCAAACCTCCGACAAAAGACACACCCGAAACTTTTGAAAAGCTAGGAATAATACTCATATGCTGCATTTCCGGTGAGTAAACTACATGTATCAATTTCATCATGAATACAAGGTGTTTTACATACATGAATTATAGTGACACACTTTTTCCAACAAGGCAATTAATATTTATAAGTGAACAGGTCCTCTAATGTTTTTTCTAGTTTACTGGCATGACATTAAGCATGTACAGTATGAAGGACAGAATGTTATTTGGGGACATAATTTTCTCCCCAAGCAAAAACTTTGTCCAGTTCAAAGCTTATATACATGTAAGTACCTTATCAACATGAATATTCATATTCACGAGACCGAATTCAGGCCTTGTCTGGTCAAGGTACATGTAGTACAATTTCAGATCTTATAATACTGCACACATCAACACACGCAAAAACAAATGAAGTATCTTGTAAGTAAATGGAGGATGCAACTTTAAAATGACAAAATATACATTAAACGACAATGTGAAGTTAGTTACTTCTTCCTCGTTCGACATTCAGTGTTGAACAAGCGACTGTTTGATATTCAGAGTTGTATAAGTAACTGTTTGACATTCAGCGACCACTCAGGAGGCACATCCCTAGAAACAATGGAGTTCAAAAGGGACAAAAAACAAACTGTGCCACCTAAATGTACTTTTCAGGGCTTGTTTGACCCTGAAAAACCCCATGCCCCGGAAGAGAACAGTGACATCAGATTCAATGTAATCTCCAGGCTGGGCATGGGGTTTGGGTATTTCATTTCAATTTGTGAAAAGTAATACTTTCCTGCTCTGGTTTGCAAGTGAAGAAATCCACCAACAAAACTTTAGTCAAAGCCGTTTTGACAGTGAAAAACTGTGTTGCCCTGGCTGAAATGGAGGCAGTGGGGTCGCTAAAGTGTACAGAAACAGTTTGAAAATAAATGTAGACCTGAGATTGATCTATATTATTTCGATCCACTAATTAGTTTTGATGAAAACAGCAACTTTATAAAACTAACCATTTCTTCCTCTCATAATTATACTGCCATAAAAAAAACTGTCTCAGTTGTCAGGGAACCCCCAAAAATCCCATGCCCAGGGCTGCCTCTGTGGGAGAGAGTTGTGTGTGTATACATCATTGTGATATGGCATGCACAATGTGAATAAACCTGGTACATGTGTGGATGGTGGCACACTTTGGTTTTTTGTCCCTTTTGCACTCAATCATTTCTACTGGTGTGCACCCTCAATGTCAAATGCTTACTTATTCACCACTGGAATACCAAACGGTTATTTGTTCAACATTGAATGTGAAACGTCAAACAAGGAATAAGTACCGGTAACTAACCTCACACCACCATTATACACTTCATTCCAACCAACTACAAACACCCCGACAAAAGAACACACTGGCACATCCTAATATTGATGGTAATACAAATGAAAATCAAAGCAGGAATAGTTTGTATAGATCAGGGAAATTCAAATGATTTTATGCACGTTGCTACTTCTGGAAACCAAGGCAAAAGGCATCCCCGTGTACGTGTGGTGCCAGCCTTCTGGTTTCCAGCAGTACAAGTAGAATGTTGCATGCCTCAAATCCAAAGGAGATTCTCTCAGCATGCTCACAAGATGGTGTACTGTCGGCCTATGAGACAGACATCAGCTCATGACACAGGGTCTTCCTATTTACTGTCAACACATGATAGTAACGTCAACACAGCGTCAACTTCCTTGAAATACAACTTTAATCCACAAAAGAGGCATAGAAGTGTAATACTCGGCCTGAAAGAGACTTTCCAAAAGTTGGAGGTCACAAAATGGATTTTTTTTCACACGGAAAAAAAACTCTCTAGCAGCATAGCTGTTTGCCGCCATCTTGCCTCCTCATGGAGCTTGGACTGTACCATTTAGGTGTGGATATGCTGCGCTATAAATTGAATACTTTTTAAGAGAGCAAAAATCAATATAGCAGAAACAACATCATAGATTCTATTTAACACAGTTATTGTCAAAATACGAAAAGGGACAATTATTCAATCTTAAGAAAAATACAAATACAGTAACTTTAAAGGAAAAAAAGTGTTGTATCTTTATCATATAATATCACCACCCCTCTAGCGTAATAGTATGTTCCCTTTTGCCCCAGAGGCAACATGCATGGTGGCTGATTTCCCAGCTGTTTGAAGGAGGCAATTCGGCCAAATTAGAACGGTAATTTTCCTGAGCCTAACCTGTTGAAGTTTAGGCAAAATATCCCTTCGACAAACACATTACAGTCGAGTACCGCTTCTTTTGATTTTCAACATGTTATGGGGGTGTTGATGCTGTGTTGATGGTAATTAGTATGACTGCATGATGCATGCACTTGTCAGCTCAGTACAAATCTACATTGTCATCATCTAATGTTACAATCTAAGTACAGAAAGAGTTCCATATATGGATGCCGCTGGGCACCTTATACAAAAACCCCATGAGACTAGTCTGAAAAAATTCTACGTCTTTTTAAGTAAACACAGTATTAAACACCTTGGTATTTTCACTCCTCAATTGACCTTTACTTGGCATCATGTTTTTGCTTTCTGGCGGCTAACAAATAGATCACTGTAGGCGGCCGTATATAAGCCTTATCGAAAATACTGCATGAATGATTTTGCACAATGGTAAAAAGGAATTGTACAAAATCAACCATGCAGTATTTGCGAAGAGGCACATGGATTTCTACTGTCAAGTGTCATGCCACTGCCAGTCGAAATCAGGTGGGGACGGAAAACCCAATCCACATGTGGACCAAGCCGGGGTGAGGAAAGAATTAGGCCCACTACTAATATTTACTAGGGTCTACGCCAACCCTGACATGTCATCACCTCCAGAACTGTGGGGTCGACATCCGCCCCACTCCCACCTGGGACTCAGGAGAGGAGCGGACGTCGGACCCTAGCCCCACTAGTGTGGCACGGACTCTCCTCCCGATCCATCCTTAGCCACACATCCTTATACACAATTTCGTGTCGGCATACTGAACATTTCGGCGCACCCACTTATCATCGTAGGCGCAATTGCTTTTGCATACGAACATGATTCTTGATTTTTCTACTTTCTAAAGACCATTTATTGAATGATTTCACCATGTTAATCAGGTATTTTCCAGTCTTTTTGCCTTTATCCATTCAATCTAACGGGCTCGCTCTCACAGTCGTCATCTTTAAAAAAGGTCGTTGAACATTACGTCACTTGACCCCTCACTGTCTCGACGGCTGTTCCATGTCAAGACATGTAATACACGAACTGAGCGATAAGATACTACATGTACCAATGGGCTCTTCCAAAACTTTGGCAGCAGTCTAGATGTCTATTGCGCCCACGATAAGTGGGTGCTCCAAAATGTTCAATATGCCGACACGAAATTGCATTTACGGATGTGTGGCTAAGGATGGATCGGGAGTGAGAGTCCGTGCCACACTAGTCATGCTAGTGGGGCTAGTCGGACCCCACAGTTTTGGGGGTAAGGGGTACCTAGCCCCACAAATAGGGCTGTAGTGGCTCTGTTTTACAAACTGTCTCTTATCTGTCGCCACCACAGATAAGAGACATATAGAAAAAGCGAGCTACTACAGCCCTTTTTCAGTAAGTGTGGACTCATTTGTGGACTCAGGGGCCGGGGTACCCTGACGCATGGACGTGACTCCCCATGCCTTAAACAACACCCAGACAAAGTCAAATGGGTTGAAATTTGGTGATACCTGTGCTAGTGATGATCTGTACATTTCACCTGCTGATTGTCCGACGCTTTTTCATCAACAGTGCAATATTCATCCACTTTTAAAATGGCTTGCACCTGCTCCGCCTACATATTACGAGTACAGTGAGGTTTTCCCGGGAAATTTTGTCCGTGCATAGCGCTAGCGCATGCATGTGCAACTCAAGGTCAAAATCTATACGAAAAGGTGAGAGGTCAAACGTTTGGTTCAAGCCATTTTTCCCAAAGGGGTTGCTCTTTTTAATTGACATTCCCTGTCACAGTAAAATTTGAACTAAGTTTTCACTTTTAAGAACTGTTCTGGTGGCAGTTCAAAAGGAAGTATTTTGAAAACCAGGAAACGCTTTTATTTCATCACTTACGTCTTTTAAACAATAGCACGTGCGTTCTTAGATAGAGTCACTAATTAGAGTAATACCCCCTGCAAAGTGTTAAAGCTGCCATTTCAGTTATCACTGACGTACCGCGCTGCGTGTGTTATGACGGAGACAGTGCAGCCGCAGCAGAAGAGCCTTACTTTTGTGCTTGAAAAGGAGTTATTCTGGTAAGATCAGAGACTTTAGTTCAAACTGTTGACACATGAATATAGATAATAATAATCGTATTTCTCTTGTGTTGAAATTGTTAAGGAAAAAGTCTTTCTCTTAGTTCAAAATTAATCGATTAAATCATGGAGGACCGAACAACGTAAAGTTCTACGAATTAGAAGAGAATATCAATCGTTTTGTTGCCCCAATGCGTGTCATGGGGTAAAAGGGCAAGAATAAGTTACACCTCCATGGTTAGACCGAGGTGAAAGAATTCCATGTACGGACGCCGCTAATTTGTCCCTACAGTGATTATACAGTAATTGCAAAGAGTCCTCTGTGATTGAGAGCAATAAGATCAGCTTTGATAATGTAATCTGGAGGCGGAGCTTGGCGTTTGGTTATTTTATTTTGAATTGAGAGAACTTTGGTGTGGTGCATTGACTTTCCTTCTGTGGTTTGCAAGTGAAGAACTCCGCCGACAAGACTTGTGTCAAAGTGGTTTTCACGGTTGCCCTGTTGCAGAAATGTGCCCGATTTCATGATTCAAGTGGTCTGAAGTGTAAAACGGCCTTCAAGAATCAAGATGATGAGCGATTCGCTGGCAGCTATTAACGTTGACCAGCTGAGCAATGCTGTCAGTGCTGTGGTGAATGGCACCCCAGGACAGTCTCACAATGCTGGATCCACATCACAAGTACAGGTAATTATCAATTATTGATGTCGTACTGATGCATACAGGATTGAAATCAGTAATAAAGGATGATGTACAAGTAGATTCTGCCTTTCTTATTAATCCAATTCTTCTTTCCCCCCCCCCATCTCACAAAAAACAAATTGTAGTCCAGCAAATGAGAATTTTGGTTGAAACCTTCTCTTTAGTCTTGCCTTAATATGGCTTGGTTGATAAACTAGATCTGTGTCAGACACTGAATGAGTTAGCAGTGTTAGGAAGTCATATTGTACCTAAAGACTTTAAACATGATATAAATACCAAACTCAATTTAAACTGACAGAACATGTTGGTGTTTCTAGGACAGTGTAACAGGCACACAGCAGCGGAAATTTTGTCTTCAATTTTAGACACATTGGCATGGGTTCATTGCCTAGGCTGCTTTATCCTTTTTTGTTGTTGCTGCTTTGTTACAGAGTGCCATGAACCTGCAGATGCCAGCCAGCAATCCTGTGTCGGTCCCTAATGCGGTCATGGTCCAAGTAGACAGGCAGCTGTTGAGTCAACTGGCGCTTCCCCCTGCCGTGTCGGCAGTTGAGGTGTCCACAGTTGACAGCGCACTGCTGCAAAATTCAGGTAGGCTGTTTGTAGAGCTGAAGTTACCCCTGTTGTACATGGAAGGATCGAAGGACATTGAGCGACAAGTTATCAACCAATTCAGAAGTGAAATGTACCTCAACCCAAGGGAAAGAAGGTCACCAAATGTTAAGACAGTAAGCCTTTCACCCATTCAGGTGTCATCCACTTTTGTCATCCTTTTCTTGAGCATACAAAATGTACTTTTTTCATTGACTCTCCCCTTCCAAATAGAGTATGTAAGAAAAGAATGTTGGCCAACCAACCTTTCTCCAAGTTTGTGAAAGTATACACAGGCTGCGAACCCATTCTCTTCAAGCACACATTTTGTACTATTGTGAAAAGGACGAAAAAATGGATGGCTACTTTAAAGTCTGTACAACCAGCTCCATAATAGAATGTACATGTAGGTTTGCCAGTTTTTGATTTGTAGTCATGATTGTGGATTGTCAGGTTTTTTTTTCTTGTGAATTCTTGGTTGAGGTGGTTTTCAAAGTGGTAACTCTCAGCAAGAGAACAGAATGGTGCAGTCAGCCAGTGGACCCCCCACCACACCCCAGAGCACTGCGCTGACAACCCAAATGATGGGCCAGGCTGCCTCGACCAGCAGACAGCCAGCCTCCTCAATTCAGAACGTCGCCCTGATGAATGCTGTTCAGATGTTGGGTGCTCCCACTGCCAACGTCAACGGAGCCCCCGCCTTGACCCAGAACACACCCTCAAATCAAGTGGTGGGCACGCAGATGATGATCCCTTCCATCCTCACCAGTATGGTGCCTGCTGTCACGACCCAGAGCATCTCCCAGAGCTCCTTGCTGGGCTCACCCTTGGTGTTGGCAAGAGATGGAGGAGCGGGGACAGGGCTCGCCAATACTTTTATGGCAAAGCAGGGAGGGGAACAGATGCTATTCAACATCCAGCCTGAAATGCCCAGGGGGAGTAACAGCACCAACAGTAACAACAACATATTGCAGTTGGTGCCCATCAACAATGGCAGTGGGTGAGTTCTTCAACTGTTGCACATCCTGAGGGATTGTTGCTTGTTCTTGCAGTTCTAGTTGCTAATGGAATTTGTTATAACAAGCTACTTGACCTCTGCACATTCAAGAAGCAGAGTGACGAGATGGTTTTCACGTCTGAATTAATCAGGTTTTATACACAAACCTCTGAGGCATCTTCAATCCTCCGAAAACCTCCAAAAAGACTTGAAGGATTTGGGAGGATGGACAGAGTTAATGAATGCAGGTCATGGGAAACATCTGCATATTAAGTGAACAGGAGCGTATTGTTTGTATTTCCCAGCAACCTGTTCAATTTTTCACATTTCTCCCTGACAGTATTGAGTGCACAGTGCTTTTGAAGGACAAAATCCAGTATAAAATTCAAGCCATAACTTTTTTTTCAAGCTGGGCATTCAATATTGGGTGTTGGAAGGACCACATAGGTCATTAGAATCGCTACTTACAGTGTGTCTTCCTTCCATCATATTGCTTGTTAATGTGTTGCACCTTCATGTACAAAAGTTCTTATTTGCATGACCTTACAAGAAAAACCTTTGTGTGTTAGCATGGCTATCCTAAAGTTGTGATCAAACTATTTGTTGTTCTTGACAGTGGTCTTTCAAACCACCAGCAAGCAAACTCAAACCCCATGATCAACATGAGCATTGCCATCCATCTCCCGTCCCAGGGTAACCAAGATAACAAGGACCCTGGCAATGGCCAGAAGCAGGCCAGAACCATCCCCTTGTCTCAGCTGATGACGGGCCAGCCAATCCCGGTCTCCCAAATCACGGGGCCCATCCAGATGGCCCTGGAGCAGGGACAAGATCGAGGGTCCATCTCCTCTGGTAATGTGCTCCCTGCTCCGCAGTTTAACAGCAGTGTCCAAGGTGTGGTGTCTGCCTCGCAGGTGACTGGTCAGGTTACGAGGAGCGCAGTCCAGTCACCAATGTCAGTTCCCCTGTCTCAGCTTGCTGTCGCCCAGGCCGTTCCTGTCTCCCAAATAGCTACCCGTCTTTCTGATTGTTCGTCCCAAGGTGGCTCATCCCTTCCGAGCAACTCGGCCTCTCAGCACATTCAAATTCCTCATTCTGTCCTGCAGTCGTTCCCACCGAACTCCGTCAATGCGCCATCCTTTGTTGCCAATACCACGATGCAAGCCCTGACCACTGCATCACAAATTACCATGCCAACTCCCACGCCAGCCCAAGCTCCAGTTGTCATGATGGGCCAGGAGATGCAGGGCAAACCCTATTGGAATCTCCAGTCACTGGAGCACGGCTCGCAGCTCACCTCAGACTTAACCTCAAGCCTGACCACATCCTTGACGGCCCAAGCCCTAGATGGGCCCTCCATCGCACCGATCTCCAAGAGCAAGGCGCCCAAGCAGGTTGAGATGGGCCTTGGCATGTTGTCCATATCACCAGACGGACTGGTCTCAAGCATGAATGCTGACGACATGGCAACTTTGGATCTGGGGGCAACTGAGTCCATTGAAAATCTCACCCTGCCATTGGAAGAGGAAGCATCAAACATATGTAAGTAATTGGAATGTACTTAACCTTAACCCTTTTTGGCTTGGATGAATCCTCAGTCCTTTGAAATCCTCCAACTGCCTCCATAGAAAAATTGGATACAGCGTCAATTCTCCAAAATCCTCCAATATTTCTTGAATTGGTTCCCTAGAGTTGTGACCACTGCCTCAATCCACAAAACTACTCTAAAACCGCCTAGAGGATTTTAGAGCATTGAAGATGGTTGAAGATCGTGTGTGGTGGTTCTGGGGTGTTTAAAAAATCATATTAAAATTGGAAGGTTGAAGACATATGTAGTTGGTTAGCTTGTCACTGAAATACAGTACTGTATGTGGAAGTGCTGTTGTATCTCTTGCTAGCCTCTAGATCTGTAAGTCTCTCAGCTCTCTTGTCGCGTGATTTCAAACATCAGAATTGTTGATCATCATAACCATTTTTGTTTTCTACACCAGGGTGTATTGAATGCAACCACTACAATCCCACCACCTGCACCACTCACGGACCACCTACGTTCATTCCCGATGCCGAGATACCCTGCCGGGCCAAGCTGACACTGCCCAACATGCTGAAGTTATCCGAGTCGTTGACCAATCGCAAAAACATCCGATGTGGTAGGAAATGCTAACTACTGCTCTGCAGGGTTGTTGACCTAAATTGCCAACTTGGACTCAAGGGTTTCCTAACTTGTTTGACTTGAGACTTGACTTTATAGAAACAAAATAACCTGTGACCCAACTTGACCTGGAAGAAAAAAAACAATAGCTAAGACTTCACTTGACTGGGTCAAATTTTGACTGGTTTACACTTTCAACTTCTGTTGAAATAAGCACAGCAATTTATCTATTGATGGCTTTCTGTGTGCAAAAACAAGCCTGTCTGTTTTCGTGATTCAAATGTGCTATCATTAAAATAATATCAGGATGGAAATAGGCAGCCACAGACCTATTTTTCTAAAAATTATAGGCCATATCATTAATTAACATGATAAAATTTGTCAGAAATTGTTTAATTCAGAAATTAAGCTTTCGACACAACAATCATTCAATGCTGTTTAAACTAATGAATTTGTCTGATTTGTTGCCTATGAAAAGATTATTGAATGCCTCTGGTATAAATGCAGACCCTTCTTCCTGGTTGAAATGCATACATACATATTTTACTTTACAATACAGGTGTCATTGCCGTGGAGAACATCCAACAACGCTGCCAGTTTGGCCCTCTCGTTGGTAAAGTCATCAACAAGAGCGATGATATTCTGGAAGCAGATTCAAACAGGATTTGGAAAGTGAGATCTTTGAAAGGAAAAAAATTACATTACATGGGCCCTTGAAGTTCTGAGTTTTTTCAGAGTGTCTAGTTTCTAGTTACCCACCGTGGTCATAAAAATCAAGTACCTCATGAAAGGGAACAATTGATGAACTGCAAAAAAGTAACGAAAGAAATATGTCAGGATATCGGTTTCAAAATATCATTGTTTGATACTTACATCATACAAAATGTCATCATTTGATACCTACGTCATATAAAATATCATAGTTTGATACCTACGTCCTACAAAATGTCATTGTTTGATACCTACGTCCTACAAAATGTCATTGTTTGAT